TATGCAGGAATAGATCGAACAATTTAATAAATTAGTGGGATCCACCTATAAAGTTCTAATGTTGGAAGTGATTCCCATTGGATTAATCGCAAAATGGGGTACTGGTCAGGAATTGGGTTCAGATAGCGGTATTTTGACCGACAAGAGTGTAATATGCACTCCTGTCGGTCACAATGTGTCATTCCGGGAGACATTGCCTCTGCATGTCTCCCAGAATGAGACAATTTGTTATGAAAAAAAAATATTTAGAATTTTAGAACAAAATAAATAGAATCAGAATAGACAAGTTGACGAACATGTAGCGCAACTGTATCGCTTTAGAGAACAGTTCTTCCAACACCTACTCATTCAGTGAAAGATTTAAGAAGAACTCTTACTCGACCTTAACTACCTACGCTTTGCTTGAACAATTCCCAACGAGGTTACTATAAGGTTGCAAGTCTTGTCAAAATGTAGTATGCAATACGTTGGGGAAAAATAGATATATACGAACAAACTACTACAGTCTAGCAATTAGTCTTTAAGTGTAATGTATTTTTGCTACAAAGAGCTCATAACGAAGTCAAATTTTGCAATTTGATGTCAAAACTAGCTAGTTGTTGAATCAAATAGCGTTGTGACTTTGTATACATCACGATCTTGTGGTATCAGAGCTGTACTGCTGCAGACTAATTCAACTAAACATGAGCAAGATTGGGATTTCTATTCTCTGGGGTGCGAGGCTCGTCCAAAGTTCAAGCAGCTACAGTGTTTTGGATCACCTAAAGAATTTTGGGAATTTAGTTATCCGTTACTACTCTTAAATTAAAGTAGAGCACTACAGCGAATCAATCGTAATGCCTAGTCTCTCCAGTAACAAGCTGATCTGCTATATTAACTTTAAAGCCAAATCGATTCACATTGTTGCTGGTAAGTCTGATTGCTTCAGATAGAGAGCATGAATTGCTTCTTTATCATCTAATCCCCATCCCCCTTGTTCCCGATTGGATGACATGGACAATTCATCTTTCTCTAACGAAACAAAATGACACTTTTTGGCGGCTTATTAACTCAGAAAAATTTGAGAGTTAACGAATAATTTTGGCGCCAAAAATAATTTCTCTTAATTTATTAAATTTAATATACGCACATCCATAAGTTATGCTATTTTTTCTATTTATTTTGTTCTAAAATTCTAAATATTTTTTTTTCATAACATAAAATATGATGTCTAGTTTCATTTACATAACAACATGCCTTAGAATAGGTTTTTTATTCTTTTTGTCACTTTAAATTAAGAATAAAAAGATAATTTAAATTGAATATTTGCGATTATTCTCACTAATGCTGCTTCCTCTTTTATTAGGTAGACAACAAAAAGCTAGCCTTGGACTCCCATATCAGATTTTTGATTGGTTGCGTATATAATGAGCTGGGATTGATTGACGAAAACCCAGTGAGAAAATTTTTGACGCCTTCACAAATCCCTTAAGCACAAATTTACCATATGATTTGTATTTATCTTTAAAAATCTTAATATTTTCAATAATTATTGAATTCTACATCTATTTAGTTTATCAAAACACTCAATGTTATAAAATCATATTAGTTTATATCATTTATCATCAGTTTTCATTTTACGCATGTAGTTTTTAAATCTCTATCAATTTTGAAATGAACAATATATTCACAATTATATGCAGTGTCAATAGATATCTTGTTGCCTATGAAATTAACAATTTTTTTCAAATTATATTGATATTCTTCAAATTGTGAATTTGTTACATTTAATTACAAATATTGTCTTCTCCCTTATTTTGCATTTGACTTACATTAATAACCAAGCTTAATTTTAACAATTGATACCCAATTCAAAATGTCTTTCCAAAATTAGCCGAATTTCAAAAATTGACATGATACCACATTCTACATCAATTGGAATTAAGAATATTCCAAATTAAATAAAAAATATCAATCTTTTCAAAATTTATAATATTATCTTTTTTTAAACTGTTATTATATCATTATCATTCATAGCCTGACTTATCAAAATGAATTTCAATTCATATTGTTCAAATAAAGCATTACTTTGAAAGTTTGAATCATTACTCCGACATATTTTCCTATATACCCAGATTTTCCTTACTTTTACCACTCCCCATGTAATTTCTGGGGAAAACGATAATTCATTTTTTTTATGGATGAATAGATCGTTTTCCTAGAAAGGACCTCATATCTCTGGCTAAAAAGAGTGTCAGATCCTAAATAGATTATTGATCTAGTGTACAAATCCAATAAAAAGTCTATTTTTTTGGCTTTTTTGGTGCTCATTTTTTCGAAGATCTACATGAATATGGGGAAACCATCGGATTTTTTTGGTTAACCCACATCTTCATGTAGTCTGGACTATCTTTCCTCGAAGGACCTCTTTACGGGTGTAAAAACTCATAAAGTTCTCAAAAGATTCATTCTCGATCTCCATGCTGAAAGAATTTACAATAAAAAAGAGATCTACGCATCAAACTACAGCCATAAATGAACTGAACCCCTAAAGCTCAGCTCTTAGTTTATCAAAAACGTCGAAATCCTTCTCATTGCAATCAAATTTTCTCAATAACTCATAAGAAAATCGAATTTTGATTAAGCCGATGTTATAGGTATCACAAATACTACAAACTTGAGCAATATCGAAATTGCCAGCAAAAGTTTGAAATTGCATTGCTCATATTTGTTTTGTAAACTAAAAATCTGCTTATATTATTCATTAATTTTTTATATATTATTCATATACTTTAATAAAAACAATACTATTTCACCTTAAAAATGAATTTCATAAGTCAATATTATTTTTTTGAAAATGTATCAATTTTCGATTAAAACAACATGAGAATAAAATTTACGCAAAATTATTTTAAAAAATGGTTTTAAAAATTTACAATTGATGAAGAATAAGATTGCAAGAAGTTTTGAAGTTTAATTTTAAGAAAAAAAATTCGGATATTATTCATGGATCTAAGTAATCTGATATTTGAGTATCGGCACTATGCATAAAACATATATTTATAGTTTTTTTGGATTTTTATGATTTTAGATATATTCAAATTTGGCAATCCAATAGATTTTTAAAAAATAGGTAAATAAAAATAGATTACATATGCAGCAGATTTAGAATATGAAACAAATCTTATAGTGACCCAAAAAAAAATTCATGATCCAAAAAAGAAAAAAATTGACTAAATGGGAATCAAACCTTGGCATAATGAATCAATATGTCGGATGTTTCCACTACACCTGCAGTTCGAAAAATACCCTTGGTGGTTCTATTTAATAGCTACTCCCAACGATAGGCGGTGTCCCCAGCTTTAGAGGGGTGGTAAAAGTAAGGAAAATCTGGGTAGTAAAATCACAACCGAGATTGATATATGCATAACATTTCTAGCCATTTGCATGTAGATATGTGAAATTTTAACTCTAATTTTAAAATATTATAATTTTTTTATATATCATGTCATTATGTATAAATCAATTCACCGGATCATATATATTAATATATCTGTAATTGAATAGACTAGGCCAATTACATTAGTTTGATATCTTGATAACTTTTTAGATTTAGATTTCAACCTCAGCAATATATACTACTATGTACCAGTAATATAATGTTATAATAATGTGTTTGGATCTTCATGTAGTGTGGTTTTACAAGCAAAATAAATTTCGTCTAATTGCACTATGAATGTCATTAGTAGACTACTAAAATCATATGGTAGATTCTCTAGTGCCTACATAAGTATATGGTATATGTCACAAAGAATGTCTCCAATCAGGGAGCTGTATTAATGAGCTTTTATAAAAATTTACGGGCGTGTCAGAGTCCAATAACAAAAACTTTAGGGTATTTTTATTTTTTTTAAACATTCAGTGCATTAGATAATGCTTAAATAACTTGTTTTGTTTTCCATCAGCATATATTTCTATGATATACTTATATTACACTTGCATTTTATAGAGAATTCAGATATATTAATTTAGAACGAATTCAAGGTGGCTTCCATATACAATAGATTAGGAAATATTAAGTATACATCATTATCATCAATTTGACTAAAATGAATTTATCTTCGATTTCTGTTTCGTACATCTTGATGAGATATACATTAAATTACTCCACAATCAAATAAACCACTACCAAATCATCTATCCGACAACAAACCAATTAACGGATAGCAAATCACAAAAATTTTTGAAATTATCTACTATTTTAATAACACAGTTTAATCAAATCCAAAAATTTTAATAAAAAAATTTCAATAAGTGTAAATTATATCTCAAAAACTCATTTTAATTTCTTTAAGGGTGCACACGAGAGGATCATGTAAACTTCAGAATTTAGAACCTTATTTTTAGGCATTATCTTGGCTACCTATTTAGGCTCGAAAAGCAAAAAATATCAAAAAATACAACTTGACTCCATTATGACCCTTTCATGGAGGTAGTTTTTATCCGCTAGTATTTTCCCTTTGAATCTCTTTACAATTCGAAATCAAATTCAAATCTCAGTAGAAGAAAGGAAGAATCGACTTACTACGGTTGTAATACGAATAAATACATATATTTAATTATTTTTATTTACATAATAATTGTTTGAAGCTCATATTCCAACAAATTTTTAAATAAAAACATTAAAATGTTGAAAATGTTCATATATTTTAATAGGGTTTTGGCACTTTATTGAGGAATTACTACATACATAGTCGAACTGAACTTGATATTTTGAAATTTAAATTATTTATCAAAATTAAAATTTAACTTGAAATTTATAATTATTTAGTCATATTTTGCATAATTCTAAGTAGATTTTGTAAAAAATCAAGAAAGAAAAATTTTAACGTGCTTTATTTTTTCTTTTTTATAATAATACATATTATTATATAATTAACATATTCATAATGTTTCACCCTTTCAAAAATATAATCCTCCTCCTCTCAAATAAACGTACATACGGGGGCACCCTTAAATTCATGAGCTTTGAGTTTGATGATGATCAAAATGATGACAACCAGGGTGATTATCAATGGTTTAATCTAAATTCTCCTCAGCAAGAGATGGCTCCGATGGACGATTTCGCAGCACCACAAATGGGTGGTTCAGGATTCGTTTTTGACTTTGAACCAGACCCGCAAATGGAAACTACTATTCCAATGCAACCAGTTTCCCCACAACAGCTTGATTGGAAGACAACTGATACTCTGAATTTTATGAATCTTCCACCTTTGCCAACTGTTGCTAAACATAGGAGAAACTTAACACAGCCAATAGCACGTAATGAAGCAGCACCTCCGAAGAAAGGTGAGTCTACATTCATCGTCAGAAGACACAGAAAAACTCCATCAAATGCCCCAGAAGTATTACCACCAGAACCAGGATCAGAAGATGCTCTTTTCGAAGAAAAGTGCAAAGACAAGAATTTCGTCATTAATCCTGCAAAAATCGGCTTTATTCCAAGTAAATTCTGGCCAGACAAAAATTTTGCTTTTGGCGATATTGTCGCTGATTTCTTCCAGCGTAAAAACAATGCAAATTGCCGCTTTTCTCACAAACTATACAACGCAATTCAAATTTCAAAGAATTTACCAGACCTTCAGATATTTACAGGCGTCGAATGGGTCGGAAAGTACGTTCTCAAAGTAAATAAAAACAGATTTGCTCGTTTACTTGGCATCCATTCGATTGACGGCTCATTATTCCATCAACAAGGTAACTTCTCCACTCACGGCTTCATAGAAGTTGGAGGTGAAGAGGCAAAGAGATTAATCGGAGAAGCAGAGTTCAATGCAATGAATGTAGAAGTTGTTAGGTTATTAATGCATCAAAATGGAATTTTCAACCGCGATACAACCGAGGAAGAACTCGAAAATTGCAAATGGGTTAATTACAGAAAGAAAGGTGCTTCCGCCCAATAATTTTATATAATTTTTTTTTTGTTGTAATACTTTTTAAAAATATATATGAAGTCCTGTTTTACTTATAACCAAATTACGAAAATAATCAATTTAAAAATAGATTTTTTTTTAATTTTTTTTAACAATTAAGTTCGTAATTATATAAAAAATAGTAATGGCTCCATACAGAGAGTTAATGATTGAACAATTTTTGAAAAGTATTATTTCATATTGAAAGTAAAACGTATTATTTATTATAAGATACATAAAATTAGTTTTTAATTGTTGGGGCTGTTAATGGTAGTTCTGGTTTTTCAATCGTAACTTGAATATCATTGGCCTGGAATCTTTGTTTTATTTCATCAAGGGTTACTTTTCCATCTTTGTCTGAATCGAATTCTCGTATCATTGCCTTTAGTTCTTGTTCAGTATATCCTAAATTATTATCTTGATTTGCTTTTTGTAGAGATTCTAATGATATCAGTCCATCAGACGAAGCTTTGCTAAAAGCAAATTCTAGGTCGGGTGTTACTTTTCCTATCCAATTCGAGAAGTATTTCATAAATTGTGAAATAAATTCTTCGTAACTTAAGCCATCTCTTCCTGATTGCTCTATTGCTTTTTCCAATTTCGGTTCCATAAACTTTCTTTGACTTAAGGCACCAACAAACGTTTTAAATAGTTCAAGATCTACGCAATTTCCCCCATCAAAGTCGAACATTTCGAATACATGATGAATGAATTCCTTATAATCATCGGGGCCTAAAAATACCATCTTATCCCGACTCATTTTTTTTTATCTGATTTTATTTCGCAAATAAAATTTTAGGGGGAATAACCTTTATTTTATCGGTCCAAATCACCCACAATAAATTTTCTGTACCTTATTCCAATCTTATTTCAATTTCAAAGTTATTAAGTTGATTGAACTATGCTTGTAGGAACCATATAATAAGAGGATCGAACCAAAAGAACTTCAGAAACGACTTGATGATCTTGTAAAAGAGTTTTTAATTGATCCAGCCTATTTGGAACACTATAACAAATATAAGTAGAGTTTGTTTTCAATTAAACAACATGATTACGGCATACAAGAATGGATAGATAAAGCAAAGAAGTTGGAGTTTTTACGAAAATGATTCAGCATTATGACAAATCATTATAGAAACAGATCCAAACTTTGAATTGCCAGAAATATCCCTATTTAATGAATTCATTCAATCTTTAGTCCCTCTATTCCGGAAACACATGTTATTCATTGGGTGCACTTACGCCCATATGACATCACCTCCAATTCTTTTATTTAAGGTTAATTTTCAATTGTGATTCATGCCTGTTGTCAAAAATATTATTTATAGTCTGATGTGCGTAAGTACACAATGTTGATTTACTTAAAACTTATGGGATTGAAATTGATATTAACACCTTAATTTTGAACAATACATACATCTAAATCCATTCAATTTACACTTTTTGTTAATGAATTTAATCACAACAAATATATTTTTAATAATGAACCCTCTTGCTATAAGTTGCTATTTATCTTAATTACAGAATTATTATATTTTTTTTAAATTGGAAAAATTAATAAAACAAAATTTTTATTTATTATCTTGTTGAACTTTCGGCATTCCTAAAAATTCCATTGCTGGTCTCTTTACCACGGTAAACAGATCAGGCAGCAAAGCAGTTGAAAATGTCAAAGAAAGTAATTCTCCAGTTTCATGAGAAACGAAAACCATTGATGTATCGTTATATCCCATGAATTCGCAGTTGTTAAATCCTTTCATGTCAACAATATCTCCGGGGAGGATGAGAGATTCTCCAATTCCAGGAGATCCGACTTGCAAACCTTGCGCGTCGTTCCTTGTTGCCATGAAATCGGACCTATAAACAATGTTCACGGAGTTGCTCGGTGGTAATATCCTTGCTTTGTTGTCTCCAATGAAAATTGCATACCAACCGTCTTCGTTCACGCCCACTGCACGGGCGTAAGTTGTTCCGATGGCCAATATGTCTCCGGCCATGATACCATCAGTTGCTGATTCCGTGTCTAAGGAGACCGTAACTGAGTGGCCGTCGACTGTTTCGATTGTCCTTTCGGCAGGCATCGAGATTCTCCTTACCAATTGCATATCCAGAGCTGAAACAGGGGCAGCTTTGTAGCCATTAATTCTCATTTCGTCAGTTTGAACGTAGCAAGTATCTGCAAATCCTAAAATAGTCGCGAAACCAATGGGAGTGATGACTCTGTCCGTTGGAACAAACAATCTGTTACCTGTACATGAGATATCGAGGGTAATTCGCTCACCATCGATTTTCATGACATCTCGAGTATGAGGAAGTTCATCTGTATTCCTTCTGAGTACTTTAAACTTGATTGGATCTTGAGTAAAAACGTATCTTGTCGAAATATCAAGAATAACAAGCATATTCGCATAAACTCCAAGGAACTCGCATGTGCCTCTTTGAGGAACCCATAAAAGGTCACCTACAGCGTATCCAAACGTTTGTACAAATTCACGAGTCGTATCCGCGAAAACTTGTGAGCCATTTATGTTCAATTCGAGTAAAGTATGGCCAGGACGATTATTTAATACAATGTAATCCTGTATTTGAGATAATTCAAAGTCGCAAACTGCATAAACGCGTTTTTGACCTTCTGGCATGACCCAGAGAGATCCAGACGCGTATCCTGCAACAACGGCTTTAGTTTTTCCTATTGTAACTTCATCTCCAGCCAACAAATTTACAGAAAATAATAATTCATCTGAAGAATCCAACGTAATTGGTCTGTTTAAGCTTGTAAAATATGTATCTCCAATATGGCCAAGTGGAATTAATGCAGAAGAAACGTCATCGAATGAAGATCTTCTATTTGCGAAAAATGTAACGTCATTTGCTGAAGCTAGGAACGTATCTGATGTATCTCCTATATCTATTTTAGTTTCCTGAGGTATTGGTATTGCAACTCCTGACTTTAGAGGCTGAATTGGGTGTCCTTGGATAAATAAGAATCTTTTTCCAAGAAGACAGAATGTAGAGATCGGACCATGTATAGGCATTGACGATAGACTAACAAAATTGCTAGATATCGTTGAAAAATTGCGGTTTTTGTTTGATGCGTGTGCTAATGAACCAGAAATGTCCAAAATAAAGACATCTCCGTGCTCGCAACCAGCATTGACGCATTCAAAACCAGCTGGTAAGTAGTATTCTGTAATAATTCCATTATGATAAACAATTAATTTTAATGAATTTTGTACAACGAGAATGCTCTCAGAACTGCAGAAAAGAGAACTTCCATTTGCTATTAATTTCATTTGTTCGCCGTATTTTCCTACATAAACATCTCCTTTTGAAGTCATCGCGCTAACAACGGAAGAATTGATTTTGCATGTAATTAGTTGGCCTGGAGCGGTCATTTTTATCGAGTTCTGACTGTCTGTATATATTGTTATGTTATTTGTTTCTGTGATAAAAGCTAATTTTGTTCCAAAAGCAGATAATCCACGGGGACCTGATAAATTTTCTGGTTTGATGTTGGAATATTCATCTCCCAGAACTATTAATTTGTTTGTTTTAGTAATTGCGGCTGTAAATCCGTTTCCACATGCAATTTCGTAAAGATCTTCGCTTATATCTATTTGTAATGGGAGTGAAATGTTGCAACCCGCATTTTTTGTAATTTGATGTTTATCATTTTTGCCAAATCCGTATGCTTTCCCTGATTTATCAATAAATACATAATGATCGCCAGATCCATCTAAAATCAAAGGTTTTTTACCATCTAAAGATATAAAAGTCTGTTTCCCCTGAGGACCTCCGAACCCTTTCTTCAAGGGACAGAAAAATCCATCAGAGATTCGACTTGACATTTATTTTTCCGAGGAAAATAATCGTCGGCAAAATTTTGATCAATATTTTGAGATTCTAAGTTTGATTAATTCATAAGCATCTAATAACAAATAATTTTTCTCATACAAGTTAGTTATAATTTTGCAATTTTGAAATGAATATTTTTTATTATGAAGTTTAACATATTAAAATCAGTTTGGCTAACCTTAGATTATATAGATATTAAATTGATTCTCGAATTTACAAGGTTATTTTTCAAAATTTCCTCAAATGAAAACAGTAAAAAGGGGAGAATTGTTGAAACAAGTTAATAAACAAACTTTATTTGATAGATAAAACGGGATGATATGATAACAATAGAAAAAAAGAAAATAATTATTCAATACTTTGTCCGCTTCTATCTAGGAATGGGAATGGACGACCACTTGGCATCTTGAGCTCAGGATCGAACAATTCATCGAAACAAGGATGTTTGATGCATTCGAGGGCTGTTGGTCTTTTAGATGGATTGTATATGAAAATACTCTTCAACAAATCCATGATGTCCGGTGGTGTGTGGCGTGGTAAAACATTTTCAAGGCCAATTCCTGGATTTGATGAAAGAGGAATATCTGCTCCATGCTGGAACGAATTCATATCATCTTCTGTTGGCGGGCCTAATACTTTGACAATTTCGTGGAGCTGTCCTAACGAACTGCCACCAGCGAAAATCGGCATACCAGCCATGAGCATTTCAGCGACAACACATGCACCAGCCCATATATCAATAGCTGATGTATAGTAAACGCAGTCGAAAATGAGCTCAGGAGCACGATAGTAACGAGAAGCGATATAAGAAACAGATTTTTCACCGGGAACGAGTTGCTTTGCCGAACCAAAATCGCAGATTTTGAGTTCACCAGATTCCATATCGCAGAGAATGTTTTGCGGTTTGAGGTCACGGTGGGTAACACCGATAGAATGGATGTAATTTAGTCCTGCAAACATTTGGAAGGCAAATAATTTGACGTAAAGAAGTGGTGGATATTTTCTTTCTTTGCGGTAATTCATATTAAACTGGTGGAGTGAGAGTGGTAAATAATCCATGACTAAGTTCAAATAATATTCCTTTGGCTTCCTACCGGGTGTCTTAAAGGCTGAACATAGACGAATACAATATCTGTTGTTGATTTCTTGCATCGTTTCAAGTTCTCTATTTTTATAACGAGGATCGAGCAAAACCTTTTTAATAGCCACAATTGAACCGTCAACAGCTCTGGCACAATATACAATGCCGAATGCACCCTGACCGATGACTTTGATAGGACGGTACTCCATTTGTTGTCTGTTAGATGGTGGTCGCTGCTGACTAAGACGCGTGGATGATTTCCTATTTGTTGAAAGGGCTAAAGACGAGTGCATTCTGATATTAGAAAGCCTGTCTTTGTCCATAACCTTCGCCATATTATTATTGTTAATTTTTTTTTGTTCTAAATTTTTTTTTTCGATGATAACGAACTATTCACAAAATTTAGTTTACAAAATGGAAGTTTTGAATTTTGAAAATCTGTTGGCAATACTTAGCTTCATTTGGCCATAATAACAAACTATAAAATATTATTCTGAAAAGTGACTTTCTGATGGTTACACGCAAAAATTGAATGGTAACGAATGAAATTTTAACCTGTGAGGAAACCTAAAATAGATAATTTCAAAAAGACTTTATTCAAAAGGAAATTTGGATAAGAAAAATCATTCACAATTTTAAAAAGATTTTTTTCCCCAGGGAGTAGTTTTTTTGATGCAGAAAATTCTTTAAACAATAGGCTTTATGAGATGAAACATAGCAGGTAATATTCTAATGATGTGTACTATTATATGAATATATCTTGTATGCCGATTTTATTGAATTGATTGTGCGATCCATTTAGACATTATTTAAAATGTTATGGCATGAAACATGTAAAACATCATACAAAATAAAAATAGTAAAAGAATTTTATCTTGCATAAGGAGCTATTAAATAAATTCCCGTTAGAGAGGATCGCACAAAAATTAAACGAAATATAGTTAGAGGTCAAACATTGGGCTGTCTAACACTTTTACAGACAAAGATTATAAATACCATTTTTTTTTCTTGTCAGAAAGTTTACAAATGTTTACATTATAGCAAACGGTGCCTTAGAAAAGTGCTCAAATAGGGGGTTTTTGTTTTCTTTCTTTTTTTTTGTCTAGTATATATGTAATCATAAAAAAAAAAAAAAAAAAAAAAGGTAGTGGGGCCTCCAGGCACTTCGTGCCCTCTAGCCCCGAAGATGTTTAGTATAAATGAAGTATAAAATGGAGTTTTTTTGGGTATAGGGGGCTTCCCAGGGGCTGCGCCCCTTCTAGCCCATAAAAATTTTTGAAAGTCGTTGCTGTTGACTTTTTTTGTAGAGCACTCAAAATAGTACAACTTTGTCCGGACAAGTAAGGGTCTATCGTCGCTACAGAAAAGTTACGGGCGTTCCAAGGAAGTATACTTTGAGAAGCCTTTTCTCCATTTTAAAACAAGATAGGACGGTTATTTTACAAAACCGACAAGACTTTGACCGAGTAGTTTTCATGTTTCGTCACTTTTCTGTCACTTTTCAGGTAAAAACATTTTTATTATATATATAAAATGAATTTTACAAAACCACCGTTACCGTTCTTTGGAAATAAGAGTAAATGTAAAGATATTCTATTGAGAGAACTTAAGAAACTACCGAATGGTCTAACATTTGTAGATTTGTTCGGTGGAAGTTTCTATATATCCCATTTGTGCCATACAATATTCCCAGACTCAAAGATTATATGCAATGACTTCGACAACTATATGGACCGTCTCAAACATATTCCAGACACTAACAAAATATTGAAAGAGTTAAAAGAAAAGATACCTATAGGTAAGATGGAACGTATACCATTAGATAAGAAAAATATTGTGAGAGAGGTTTTGAAAAAAGCAGAATATATAGACTGGGATAGTATATCTGCTAGACTATTATATAGTGGTTCTATAAGAGTTCATGACATTGAAACACTTATGTCAAACGTTTTATATCTTAACTATACAAATGTTTTCAAAGAGGACATAGAAAAATATATTGAGGGTATAGAGTTTGTGAGATGTCATTGGACAGAGTTGTATGAAAAATATAAAGACAAGGAAAATGTTTTCTTTATAGTGGACCCGCCGTTCTATAACACATGGGATTTTCAATACCAAGTAGACTGGACTTTGAGAGACTCTTTAGAAACTTTAGACGTTTTACATAACCATCCATGCTTTTACTTTACATCCGATAAAAGTGGTTTGGAAACCGTTATGAGATGGTTAGAGGACATACATGACTATGAGTTTAGATATGACAAGATAGAATATGAGAGAGGTCCTATAAACCGGAGAAAGTGTCATAACAAAGAAATTTTATTAGTAAGTAAATGTGGTTTGAAATAGGACTACTTGTTTTAGGTTTTTTCCATTGTGTCATTTATTTATTTGACGTGGCAGAAAAGTACAGAGAATATGAAGATGAACCAATGCCTGCAAATGTTCAGCATATGTACTCGTAAGAGATATTTTTATCTAATATTAAATGGACGCACAGAACTTAGCGAATGCACAGCAACCTGGACAACCAAACCCAGAGAATATTCCAAATGAAGTTAGAATACAAACTGCAATGGCAAACTATGGTCAAGTGCCAACAGATGTACAAATGCAAACTGCCATGTCAAATGACGCTGCGTTAGGTTTGCCACCATGGTATGCAAATATGAGATGGAAAGAGTTTTATACAAACCCCGAAGTGGGATATAAACAACTTTATGCAGATGACGCGAACACAGGAGTTGACCCAGAATATGTTTTCTACCAGAGGAGAAACAGAATGTATGAGCTCCAGTTAAAAAATGCTATGGAACTCAGAAGGAAACGTAAGAGACTAGGCGGACATTAGATTTTTACATATAGTAAAATGGGTTTCTTCAGTAGTATTGGAAACTTCTTCAGAAGAGTTGGAAGAGGTATATGGAATGGAATAAAAACCGTAGGAAGAGGAATTTGGAACGGAGTCAAAAATATTGGTAAAAGAGTAGGTCAGTTCGTTGGTATTATACCTAAAGACCCTGAACCAGAAGAACAAGCTCCTGTTAACAACAGCCTGAACCTGCACCACAGTCTAGTTGGCAACCAAATCAACACCTCAACCGTATTAAAAAATTATATTTTACCGTTCGATAGTAGTTGTAATGAAACTAAGTTCTAAGTAAAACGCATGGTATAATGGAATTGTTCTTTTTCTTCCATCTGTAGTAAACCATACTTGAAAGTTGAAATACTTCCACTCGGCGGTTCATATAGCTTTGTAGGTTTTTCGTAAAAGTCATGCCAAGCATAAAAAAGAGTTTTGCGCACCAGAAAATGAAGCATGAACGATAATAGCATCTGAGTCGAAAACATTTTCATATGTTCCATTAGGGTTTTCGACTTCATAAAAGTCCGGGTGTACTGGATATTCTGCAGGCTGATTTAACATCCTCATAAATCTATACCATGCCAAGTTGTTATATTTGTAGAAATATAAACGTTTTCTCCAAGGTCTTCTATTCTATTGATTTTAACAGTTTGCATTTTTCCTGTCATATATAATATCGAGATGGTACTCTCCTTCGTCAATTATACTGGTTTGCATATTCGAGATAGATTATCGTTTATTTTCTTAAAAAGCTTGAAGAGTTGTTTCTAAGTTTACAAGCAAACTAACTTGTAAAAGTTTTTCCCTGTTCAAATTTCTCATACGTACGTTTTTCTTTGTTATAGTATCGAACTACAAAACCGACCGTAAATGGGAAACCATGTATGGCTTCTGAAATTAACTTCATTCTACGAAAGCCAATAGCTTTTGTGACGGATGGGTCTCTTAGCCATCTTAACGGGTAGTCAAAACGATAGCCTTCATGCTTTACGGTCTCTGTCTCAAACTTTTGACCGACATTCGTAAAAAGTTCATCTAATGTTTAGTTGTAGCAACTCTAGAAGTTTCCTTTTCTATTGGAAGCATATTTTATCTAGAATAAAAATGTCAAATGAAACAGCGTCTATGAGAGAAATACAACACAACCGACAATCATTATACAAGCTCTAAATAAGAACACAACAAACTTTTCAAACTATTCTAAGATATCTGAGTCATTGAAAGAAGGAAGCTTAAAACTGACATTAAACCCAATGACAGATGAGTTTCTGTTTCAAGACAGTAAGAACCATACTGTTTGTATAAATCCAACAAAAGGAACTTTAAACGAGAAACCTATATCTGAACTTCTTTTGAAAGCAGATGTTGACAACAAAGCTGACAAAGAATATGTAGACGATGCAATAGCAAAGAAGAGAAAGAGCTGACAAAGCTTATGCAACAAAAGAGCATACTCATCCTGAACTAGCAGACAAAACATATGTTGACAATAAAATGTCAAGTGAAGTGACAAGAGCTGAAAACGAATATTCTAAAAAGACTCATATACATTCTATATCTGATATTACAAACTTACAAGAAACCTTAAACAGGAAAAGTGACGTTGGACATACACATACCATTGCAAATATTACAAACTTACAAGAAACCTTAAACAGGAAAAGTGACGTTGGACATACACATACCATTGCAAATATTACAAACTTACAAGAAACCTTAAACAGGAAAAGTGACGTTGGACATACACATACCATTGCAAATATTACAAACTTACAAGAAACATTAGAGACAAAAGCAGATAAAACATATGTCAATGAAATATACCAAAGTTTAGTTGGAACAACAAAAAATATTGAAACTATTGTTGGTGACTTTTCTGTCAATGAAGAAAACAAATATTTTAGATGGCAGTTTGTACATTCCTTAAAAAATGGTATACGGTATAAACTCATTCCGAAAAATAACAATGAAATGTATGTAAGCTATAAAAAGAATGATGGTACACAAGTTAAAGTTCCATTAGACAACAACTGCTACTTAAACTTATATGGAGACGAACAAAAGAAATATTTCGGAGTTTATGAAATGACAGATATGACATTGCCTGACCCAGCTCCAGCACCATATTATTATGACTATGGAGATGACGTCAGAACACCACATGTAGATGAACAAAAGCTAACATTATATTTAGATTATTATAGATATAAAAGATATAATGCAATAGAAAAAACGAGAATAGTATACTATTATGAAGATGACAGAAATAAATATTATAGTCAAGACTTTACCTACCCTGAAAACATAAGATTATATTATAAAAAATATTCTGACACAAACCAGAAGAAACCTGAAATAGTTGCACTATATTTTAAGTTCAAAAGAGACAATCCTATAATATCATATGTTGATTTAATGAACCCAGTAGGTTCTATTTATACATCTATGGAAGCAGGAGGTCCTCAAGTAATGTTTGGTGTTGGTGCATGGGAACAAATAGTCGACAGGTTTTTGTATTGTGCAAACTCTTCAAAGGAAACAGGTGGAAGTAAAAAGATATCTGTCGACAACTTGCCACCACATAGTCATTCTGGTACAACAAGTTCTAATGGAAACCATAGTCATAGGGTTTGCAAACAAGGATATAACACTGTTTCTCAGACTTCAATGCAAATTCAAGTTATGTCAAGATCTCATTTTCCAAACGACCCAGTAGACTGGAATGGAATGTGGACAGATACAACTGGAAACCACCAACATACTTTTACAACAACATCTACAGGAAATGGAACAGAATACATGCCACCTTACATGACAGTTTACGCATGGTATAGAATTGCTTAGTCGTCATGTTCCACTTCTTTAGCATATTCGTCAGGAGTTGTCTTATATTTGTTAGGAACTGTCTTTGAAAGTATACCACCTTGAACTTTGACAAGTTTGAAACGAGGTCTGACAATAGTAGTTTTATCTTCTGCTTGCAGTCTGTACATTTTGCCATGTTTGCCTAAAACTTCATAATATTCTCTTGTATACTTTCTTCTATTTTTACGAACACGAATGTGAGTACCTGTCGGGTTCCCATTGTTGTCATAGTCAATAGTATTTTCATATGGGTCGCGTTTAGGTATTTCTATTTTTACTTTGTCACCTTTCTGAAGTTTGAAGCCCGGCATTCTTTCTTGTTTGTCTCTTTTGACTAAATTATTAAATATATAGTCTTTCTCTAAGTCAGGGTTGTTTTTCATTTCTTCGGGGGAGTGGTTTCCCAAACCTTTTTGTTTACGGCTATTGTAAATATTTAAAACTTGTCTCATCTTTGCCATGGAGAAGTGTCTATATTTGTCGTCATATGACATTTCATTTGCTTCACCACCTTGTGGTTGGTTTAAGTCTCTTAACATTTTTATACAACCGTCAATGACACCAAGAGCAGAATGGTTTTGGTCGACAATGAAATATTGGTTTACATTTTTTGAACGCAGATAGTTTTTTACATCATCTGATTTGAAAGAACTTTCACAGTCAGATGTCAGTTTTGTTGGATGGTATTTGTCAACGAATATTGTCAAAGCAGTTTTCACATCTAAAATATTTTTGGACCATAATGGTATGGCTTCACAGTATCTTGTGTTTTGACCGACAAATATTAGCCAGTATGGTGGTCCATCTGTTCTAACTCTCGGAATGTTTTCCAAGATATCCATAAACCAAGCATTTGGTGTTGAACTAAAGATTTTTACCATGAGTGCTTTCTTTGTCGCTTTAGAAACATAGGGTCCTTGTTTGGATTCGTCATTTTTTAACCCATAAGAAATGGGTTTATTTGGCGCGTTAGCAGGAGTTGCATCTAGATTTTTGCCCGCAGTGGGAACAATAGCCAGAGGTGCATTTGGAATTGGAAGGAAGATTTTGAGTACATTAGGTATACTTAAAGAGAAAGCACAACCTATTATACAAACTGTACAGAAAGGTTGGGATGTAGCACGAGATGCAGCAAATCTTATTCCAAATCCTGAAACAAGAGGAAAAGTTCAAGGATGGATGGACAATGTAGGAAGACAAGCAGGAAATATTATAACAAAGCAAATGACTACTATAACCAAGCAGGACACTATATGGACCAAGGTGAAAGATTCTTTAACAGAGGATATAACCATGCACAACAGTGGGTAAACAATAACCAACCTCAACCGCCTCAAACGTGGGGAATGTAAAGTTTTTTACTGAGATGAAATGAACAATACAGCATTGAGACAAATGGGTTCAAGATGGATTTGTCGGCTTCCAGCAGTTACACAACGTGTTTGTCAAGTTCTTCCTATACCTCAGGAAGTTTTAGACCGACTTAAAAAACCTAAACAACCAGTTGAAAACAAACCAAACTAAAATTTTTTACTGAGATGAAATGACCGAAGAAGTTGAAACGGTAGATTTGACACCACAAACAAAAAGTTCAGAACCATTGTCAAAACCTGTCAAAGAACTTACAGATGAAGAGAAAAATTCAATAATAGAAAGTGCCAGGTCTGGAAATACAAACTCTAACTACAAAGTCACTTTTCATAAAAATGGAACGGCAAGTATCTCAAAAAAGAAACAGACTCTCACAAATAAAATATTGAAGTCTGAAGGAGCTTTCGAGACAACAGATGGAAAAGTTTACTTCACTGACCAACAGTTCATTATAGAACATCTCATTGACTTAGAGTCGAAATATTCTAAACTTTACAACAAACACAAAAAGTTGAAAGGAAAACAAAAACAAATGGCATATGATATTTATGAAGATGTTGACGACACAACTGTTCCTGCAGGTGAGGTAAAGTCAAAGGAACCGAAAAGTGACGAAAAACCGATAGAAGAAGAAAAACCAAAAACTGAAGATAAACCAAAATCAAAGTTTAGTTTCCAAACTAAACCAAGTCAACCTTCATTAGCTGGTATGGGTTGGCGTCAAAGACTTATGGCAGCAGGCGGTTATGTAAAGTAAAGAAAAAAATATTTTTTTATTTTATTTGAAATGTACGCTGAGTTTGTTGGAGAAGACCGTTGGGAAACTTGTTTGTTAGATGAGAAATATGAAATGGCATACCATTTTAAAACAATATATTTTTAAAAAAATATTTTTTTATTTTATTTGAAATGTACGCTGAGTTTGTTGGAGCAGACCGTTGGGAAACTTGTTTGTTAGATGAGAAATATGAAATTCACTGTTGTGAGTCATTTGAAGTCAGAAACAAAAAGACAAAAAGAGTTTTAAGCGAATGGGAGCGAAATGACGGATATGCTATTATGAAGATGGGTGGGAAACGCTATCTTAAACATGTTGTCATTGCAACTCATTTTATACTGAATCCTAACAATTTACCTTTTGTAGACCATATAAACCATATAAGAAACGACAATAGACTTGAAAACTTACGTTGGGTCACTCGTTCTGAAAACAATAAGAACAAAGGCAAATTTGGAGATATTGTATTCGAATTTGTCGACGAACTAGAAGATGAAACAATTGAAATTACAGACTATGGCAAGCATACGTTTGAGTTTTACTACTATAGCGAAGAACAAGACTCTTTCTACTTTTATACCGGCGTAAACTATAGGAAATTACAAGTATATTTTACTAAGGAAGGCTATGCTTATGTAAACACTAGAGATACAGATGGAAAACACGTTCGAATACTTCTTAACAAATTCAAGAAGCTATATGGCATACCATTTTAAACCATATATTTTTACATATATTAAATGCTTCAGGTTGAAAAACAAAGAACAAAAGTAGCAGATACAAAACCGTTAGACTATATCTTTACAAATGCTGGTAGGACTATTTCAGATGAAGAAATTTCATCCCGAGCATACAGGTTTGACTATCCAGTTCGTTGGCTTCAAAGTCCTTCAGATGCAAAGGCAATAGGATTTAGAAGAGTTTTGTTTTCAAATAGAACTAACGCGTTTATGTTCGCAGTATATTTTCATGGGCAGTATAAAGGTTCTGATGGTCTTATAGACAAATTTGACGAAATGAGGATCTTTACAGTTCGTTCAGACGAAAGTCTTGAGAAAACTCTAAATGACTTTCAAACTCAAATGAACAAATACTATTGGGAATTTCAAGAAAAATACGACTCTTTACTAAATGGAACATACTATCTGAAACTAGAATATGACAAGATGAACTCCACCGTTTCATTTCAAAAGATTGAAATTAACCCTCCAAGAGATACAGAGTTTTTATTTTGGGGAGTAGACAAACGTTCTTGGGCACAATTTCTTCGGTTACTAAACCAGAACGAACCATTACCACCAGATGGTCCATTTAAATTTATACTTCCACCAGCAGATTTGACAGTTTATAGAAACGTGTTTGACCCTCAAAATGTTATGTGTCATGCAAGTTTCAGTTCAAGCAACAATAGTTTTCTATGTATCGGTAAGGACTTTTATGACTTTGCTTCTAAATTCTACGAACCACCTAGTAACAGTTTCTCTGACTTTCAAGTTTGGTTCACAACAAATGGTGTGCAACATATTATACCATTGTACTATGACTTTTATCTCGAATTGTCTTTCATATACAACTACGGAAAAGTGCTGAAAAAGTATTGAAAAATATATTTTAGGGTAGATGGTTTTTAGGTGTCACCAGGTCACCAGGTCACCAGGTCACTCGGTCATTTTAACTTCTCTGAAAAAGTGTGACAACATGACATTTTGACAACAACACAGGAAATAAACTTCATCGTATATGTTTTGAAGAACTGAAGGGGTCACCAGGTCACCAGGTCACTCGGTCACTCGGTCAACTAACATCTTTTTGAAAATGGTGACAACATGACATTTTGACAACAGTCCAGGAAATAAACTTCTTCTTCGTACATGTTTTGTCATGACTTCTTCTTCGTAAATGTTTTGTCAAGACTTCATCGTAAATGTTTTGTCACCCGTTGAATTTTGTATAAAAAGCAACCGTCGACATTCCGGCGGTTGGTATATTCTTCACAAAATTCTTGTTTTGAGGTCGAGCCACTTTTGGCTCCACCGTATTTTTCAACCAAAACTCATGATTTTTGTGCTGAAATAAAAAAAAGTTAGTTTTTTTTTAAAAAAATATTTTTTATTTTTATTGTAAGAACATGTTAGCAACAACAGCACCAAACTCTTTAGTTATGAATCCAACTTCAATGTTAGTAGAGATGAAAAGCTTCATTCCTTCTTCATATACTTTCGAAACAGAAATCCAGAAGATAAAGCAAGAACTTCTCCAAGGAGATTTAGATTGCACTGCGAAAGATGAAACAAATGAACAGTATCTTTATGAAATGCAGGACCTGGTGGAACATCTACCTAAACTTCCTGAAATACAACAACAAAAGCTCACTATTCCTGAATTCGATGAAATAGAAGTGAAACCAACTGACTCAGTTGAAACCAAGAAGTTCATACGTAAGGTTAACTATGAGTTTCTTGGATTTCATTGCAACCACAAAGTCATTGACATATATAAATCTGGGGAGTTTAAGACCTACGACAACTTTGTTTCGTTAGTTGCAAAATGTGTATGGCAGATAAGAGATAAAGATAGAAGAGGTAAAGTATGGAACGGACAAATAAAACCAGCAGCCTTTGAGTTAAAGAAAACCATTTACGCCTTAGTTGTACTTGCAGGACAAATTTCAATGTACAATGCTAAAATGAACCCACAATGTTCTAAATGTAAAGCAGCAATGAGGAAATATAACTATTCTGTCAAAGAGATAGAACGTATGCGAAACGACTATGCTGACTTAAAGAAAGAAGCAGAGAAACCAGCAGAAGATAAAATGGACATGTTGACATTTCTGAACAAAAACTATCCAACTGCTGACGATTTCCTTCTATCTGACGTCAAGAAGAAATATAAAGAAACATTCGGCATTGTTAAAACATTCGATGTACTGACAGAAGAAATAGAAGCTACAAAACTGTTTAGAATTTCACGAATTCACAATGTTTACCATGTAAAACGCTTGTGAAACTTTATGGTAGAAATATATTTTTGTCTGATTTACGCTCATTGACGATGAAATCATGACAAAACATATACGAAGAAGTCTATTTCCTGTGTTGTTGTCAAAATGTCATGTTGTCACTATTTTCAAAAAGATGTTAGTTGACCGAGTGACCGAGTGACCTGGTGACACCTAAAATATATTTTTGCTGAAAAAATGACCAAATTTCATTATATAACTGTTATTTTTTTACGAAGAGAACTTTGACACTTCGTCAAAAAAATCCCTGAAATCGTAAAAAATGACCAAATTTCATGATATAACTGTATTTTTTTTACGAAGAGAACTTTGACACTTCGTCAAAAAAATCCCTGAAATCGTGAAAAAATGACCAAATTTCATTATATAACTGTTATATTTTTACGAAGAGAACTTTGACACTTCGTCAAAAAAATCCCTGAAATCGTGAAAAAATGACCAAATTTCATTATATAACTGTTATATTTTTACGAAGAGAACTTTGACACTTCGTCAAAAAAATCCCTGAAATCGTAAAAAAATGACCAAATTTCATGAATTTCCTCATATGTTTGCTACCCGAGGAAAACCGAGGGTAGAGATTCCGTACGAAAATCGTGAAAAAATGACCAAATTTCATGAATTTCCTCATATGTTTGCGACCCGAGGAAAACCGAGGAACGAGATTCCGTACGAAAATCGTGAAAAAATGACCAAATTTCATTATATAACTGTTATTTTTTTACGAAGAGAACTTTGACACTTCGTAAAAAAAATCCCTGAAATCATATCTTTTATACAAGATAGAAAAAATAAAGTTAGTTTTTTTAAAAAAATTTTTTTATCTTGTATGTAAGAAACAGAAAATGTTAAAGGTTGAGTTTGAAACAGTTAGAAAGATAGACAATGACACCAAAATGGTTAGAATAGGTGATTTAAACGTAAGATACTCAAAGAAATACAAGAAATATTCTTTGTCAGACATTATATCTCCATCTGGAAAGAAAACACACGACTGGGTTAGAAATGCTTCTACTCAGAAAATTTTGACAAGAAATCCTGAGCTTATGATATCGGTAAGATTCTATGGAACTACAGCATATCTTATAGACAAAAGTCTTATACCAATAGTTTTGTTATGGTTAGACCCAGTTGTTGGATATAACTTCATAACATATGGTTCATTCGATACGGAACGTTGCAGTGAAGGCTTACTTTACATCGTTCAGAAACCGAAGGACTTCAATACAAAGAGATATAAGATAGGAAGAACATATAATATAACTCAAAGATATGACAGTACAGTCAATAGAGTCAAGGTTGTGTTTGTTAACGATATGAGAGCTGCTGAAACAGAACTGCTTGAAGTTTTTGAGAAAATGTATGGTGCTCCCACGAAAGGTAAAGAAACGTTTGAAGTAGATGAGATAGGTAAAGCTATAAAATTATTTGACGAAGTTGCTGAAAAATACATGTAAAGCGTTTATTTTTGGTCTTTTGTGAAAGTCAGAAAATAACGCTAATTTTTTATAAAATATTTTTTTTATTTTGTATGTAAAGACAGTAATGTCAACAACAGAGAACACAACAACTGCTATCGTTCATGAAGCCATAAGTGAAGAATACGAGTGGGTTCAGTTTAACAAACAACTCCGTCTCATTCGTTCGGTCAAAGACGATATGTACTAAATGCAAAGTATTTTGACAGCATGTTTTGCTCCAGATACCAAACATACAGACGATTGGTTTGAATTAAATAGCACTCATGAACTCCTCAGTGAGTTTGAACATGTAGAACTTAAAAAGATGTACCAAGACAGACAAAACTTACCATCACATCTAAAAGGTATATATGTTCATAAGTTCCTAGTTAGTTCAATAGCAATGTGGGCTTCACCTCGTTATGCAATCTACATACTTATGCTACTTGACGAACTTTGTACAAAGCAGAGAGAAGATATGATGAAAGAAGACAAAAGCCTTCAGAAAAGAATACCACGTTCGGTACCAAAAGGAAAGGAAAAGAACTATAAGTATATGATTTATACTGAAGAGATGGAAAATGAAGAAGACAGAGATATGGTTATGTTGCATTTAGTCAGAAGAAACAACAAAAGCTTTTACGACCTTGCTAAGATTTACAAATCTGACAGAAATTGGTTCTATCGCGAAAACTTACCGATTTCAATGACACCGAATGAAGATGTGAAACAAATAGTTCAAGATACTTTACCTCAAACACACTATGATATTAAAGGTTGTACAATACTTACCTTCAAAGAAGATTTGCCGCTACTGAAAGAAAAAATAACAGAGTATTTTGACAACTTCAAACAAACAGAGTAAATGAACCATTTATTTTTCAAGCTTGACTTCAGATGGCTCAGGTAGCTCTATAAGGTAAATTGTCTTGTCAAATCCTTCTGGCATTCCGAGTCCTTCCTTCCGACAGGAAAAAATTTTCCTTCCGACAGGAAAAAAATTTCCTTCCGACAGGAAAAAATTTTCCTTCCAACAGGAAAAATTTTTCCAGTTGTCCGTCGTAAACCATTCAAATTTTCGAAAATTGAGAACTTTTTGGTCGAACTTCAGAAAAAGTTTTTCCTTCCGACAGGAAAAAATTTTCCTTCCGACAGGAAGAACTCTTCCTTCCAACAGGAAAATATTTTCCTTCCGACAGGACACAAACGAATGTCCGACGTACCACCAACCGAGTCCATTCCAAAGCCTGAAGAACCGAAAGCTGCAGAACCACAACAGACTAAGACTAAACACTTACATTTTTTACGCTTGACTTTTTACAATTTGAACTTTGTTTGCGTAGATATGAATTCTGAAAGAAGTATGAGGGTCTTGTATGACTTTGTACTTCTCCCATAGTTCATGTCTGTCAAACTTACCTGCCATGGACTCTTTCATAAGTTCCATGAAATCGTCTTCGGACAATCCGGGGAAAAGTACAATGTCAGTAAGTATTCTCTTTACATCCTTACTTAAACTCTTTGCTGTCTGTACACAAATGACAACTGAGATGTTAAAGTGTCTGAGCTTCTTAAGAATTCGACACATGTCTTGTTCTCTATTCTTTAACAAAGGATGAGAGGCGAAATCATCTAAGATAAGAAGACATCTGTGAGGGTAAGTCTTCCAATCGTAAGATTGCAATTTCTTCGAAATGTATTCTATCTCTTTCTGTTTGTTTCTGAAGTGTTTCTTCTCTAATATTCTCTGCATTTCCTCATTTGGGTCTTTAAACTTCGAATTGACATACTCATTTATAGCATTGTACTTCAAAACTCTTCTTTGGTACTTCTTTATCCAATCTAACAACTCAGAGTCTTTTATACATACTAACTTAGACTTCTTTATAATATCTTTGAACGAATTGACGGTTTGGTCAAATTTGACCAGAAGTACTACAAATGACTACTAACTCATAGAATGGGTTCTTCTCATCTAGTTCTTGTTGTTGTGCAGCCATTTTAAGATAAGTGAAAGTCTTACCCGACCCAGGTGGTGCAATTAGACCTGTTATACCATTCTGAGCAAATAAGAACTTGTCATGTATAGGCTTTATCTGAGCATTTTCTAACTTCCTCTTGTTCTTGTTTAAAACATTCTCAAATTTTTTGTCAATGTCAGCAAACTTTTTTCTAACATATTTTTAGAAAAATTAAAATTTTATCTTTTAGAAAATGTCTAGCGATTTCGCTATCTATATTCGAGACAAACTTTTCGACAGCAAAACATCTGTCGACCATAAAAATCTTACATAGTGTAAACAAGAAAGGTGAATTTGTTCTAAAGTTCTGTTTCTGGGAATATGACAAGAACCATAAACATTAAGCAGAGAAGTCTTAAAATTTGTCAATGACAGACTTGTTGACAGAGATGACGCCTCTTGGAGAGATGAAGTCCAACAAAACTTCTTAGAATGCAAAGAAGACACATGCACTGTTCTTGAAGATGAAATAGAAAACAGATAGAAGAGCTATTAAAGGACAAAGAACTTTTACAAAAATATGGTTCTGAGAAGTTTGACCTAACTCCACCAGAAAAGAAAGAAGAAAGAAAAGAAAGAAAAAAAAGAAAGTAAGAAGAAGAGAAGAAAGAACCAGTTTCCAGAGAAGGGGAGATATGACATGTAAAAATAAAATTTTATTTTTAGAACATTTCTGGTCAATGTCAATGTTCTCTTCCTCTTTAGGAGTAAACACTGGCTTAGACTCTAAAATCTTTTTACCCAATTTACCTTGAACTTCTACAACTTTAGACTCATAATATTCATAGTCGTCTGCTTTCTTTGGTTCATAAGGTATAAAAGTTTGTATGCTTTGCCTTCTTTAAGGTTGAGAACCTTCTGTCAAAACTTTCTTTGACTGTTAACAAACCTTCTATGTCTAAGTCTTCAAATTTCGCACCATTTTAGTCACAATAGCAAACTTAACTGGTTCGATGTTCCAAACTTTGCTGAATGAAGACTTTCAAAAATGGTAGAAGTAAACATTCAAATATGTGAATGGGTCTAGTTCTTCTTTTAGTCCTGACATGTACTTGTTTACTGAGATGAATTTTGTCATCTTTTCTATCGGATAAAAAAATATTTTTTTTTAAATTTACTCAGAAAAATTTTTCTTTGTATATACACCATTCTGTACGTCTAAAAGACTTTTGACATTTGCCAAGAATGTTCGTTTAGACGCTGTCATATAACCATATTCTTGACAATACTGTTTATACGAATCGTACAATGACCTTTCATCTAAACACTCAAAGTCAGTTTCATCTATGAACAGTTCATATACACTCTTGTTTGCTTCTAACAATGTTTGTCTCTCTTCGGTATGTGGAATTTGTCTTGGATTGAACTTTGAAATATCTAATGTCATAAAATAATGAGAACAAGTGGTTGTAAAAGTCAGATGTCAAAGTTTCTGCTAAGTCGTCAAAATATTCTGTATCTTGCATATGAAGAATCTGACGTTCTGACAACTACATATCTTCTGTCAGAAACTTTCTAACTTCATCGGAACAGCATTGTTTGAAACCATAACGAAGTTTGCAACATTTTCACAAACTCTTTGGTCTTTATATTTTCTTTCAACAACTCCAACTTTGTCTGTTATAAGACTCTTCAAAGCATCTGAGTTCAAAACTTTTGTTGTATCTATACTTTGAAGTTCGTTACATACTATAAGTTTCATATTCTCTATTGAAGAGTTAAACTTGCCACAGATGTTTTCTAAGTTTGTCATATTAGGGTTCGAATAGCCCTCTAACAGTTTGCACAAAATATCTGTAAAGAATGTGTTCTTACCTGTTCCTTGTTTTCCAATTATAATGAGAGCAGTTTCATTCTTAGCACTTGGATGTTGTAAGATGTTTGCAAACCAACATAAGATATACTCATAAACCTTTTCGTTTCCATTGCATATAATTTCTTTGACATGGTCTAACCAAGCTTCTATAATATTTTCTTTCCATTCTACTTGTTCATATTTATATCCAGTGAAGATAGAATAGAAGTTTGGAGAAGGTGTATAAAACTTTATACCACGAACTGAAAAATCTTCTAACTTTGACAATAAGATATCCCAAGCATCTAACATCTTCATTCCAACTTGTACGACTTTTATTTTCTTAAGTTTCTGTTTACATTCTTGTTCTGAAACTATTGTCGCTTTAGGTTTGTTAAAGACTACATCCCATTCTTTCATAACATAACATTCTGGGGCAGAGTCGACATAAATGACTAAACGTTTCAAATTCTCGACTGCTTTGTTATAGTCTCGAAATGGACACATATTTCTGAATGTTTGGAAGTCATAAAAATCTGAAACATCTATTCTGTACATTTTTATAAAAATAAAAAAAATATTTTTTTTATTCTTGAGCTATTTGTTGCATTTGTTGCATTTGTTGTTCTTGAGCTATTTGTTGTTGAAGTTGTTCTTGTAATACAATACTTTCACCAGTTGCATCTTCCAATTCGAAACTTTCTGCCATCATTGACAAATACATAGGACATAAAAGTTTTACAGGAACAAAGTTTGCGTCAACTAAGGTTAAGTTTATGTTTGCTAAAGTGTTTGAGTTTACTAAAGCTGAAAACTCTGCATTCGAATGAACAATAGGCAAACCAGCAGAGAATGTGTTATTTATACGCATAAGTATCTTTTGGTCATAGTAGTTTCTGTCGACATTCGAATAACACTTTGAACCTAAGTTTGAAACAATATATAAAATAGGTGTACTTAAAGTCAATGGAACAGACATTCCTTGTATGACACCTTTTCCTGTTATAGGAAACTGTTGGTAGTAAAAACCAGATATAAGTTTTGTATTATAGCTCATATTGTTTATAGTAAACTCAGTCGGACATCCAAACATAATGAAACCTGCTCTAGTTGCAGCACATGTTACACCCGTACTTAAAGTATTAAATAAGTCAACAAAACCTGTTGGTGGTATATCTGAGTAAGTATCTTCAAAGGAGTATTTTTTACCATTCACAACAATAAAATCTTCTGGTGTCAAAAGAGCAAAACAAGCTTTAGTCGTCATTGTGTTTAAGGTTAGTTTACAATATCGTCCTTGAGGACTTTGTAAGTTTGTTGTTATAGAATTATATGACTCAGGGTTTTTAGTCGTAATAGTATAAACCATTGTGTCTTCTGCCATTTACTTAGCAAATAAATTTTAATGAAATGTTGTGGTCGTCAAATATTTTTATAAACGTCTGGGAAACTATATTTTAAGTTCAACGTTTCACCTCCTTTCATAACGTATATCTTGTCAATGACATTATATGAAACACCACAGCAACTAACGTCGGGTTCTATTTCTTTGATGTTTATATCGTCTGCCTCTGTCAAAAGTTTCAATAGTTCTTTCAAAACTTCATGAGGTGCAATGACATATGAGTTCACTTTTACAGGGTTGTGTTCGACCAAGTTTAACATTATACCTAAAGCTTGACAAATCTTTCCTGAGTTTGAAGTTTGTCTTTCAGTTGTTGGTAGTCGTTTCGAATATCTGCAACAGAACTTAAGTCTCTGCTAACTTCAGGGTATGTTGGTTGTTCTTTTACAGGAACTATTGTTATACCATCTTGGTCTTCGTATGGTTTCCCCACTTCAACATCTCTTTCTTTGACATTGACAATAACACTTTGACTGTTTGTTTGAGTTGGTGATTTAACTTCACATCTGCCACCGCCATTAAACCTTTTGAAACACTTACGCTTCTATTTTTCGGAAATGACATTTTACTTAGAATAAAAAGATGGACGTATTTGAGTATCTCTTCGAATTGAAGCAGAACAAAGTTTACACACACAAACAATACAAATACATTGACAGAATAGTTCTTTATACAAACAATGGTAAATGTTATAGAATAGCAGTCTTTGCTGAACCAAAATATTTTCATAAAGCAAAGAAAGTTGGTATAACTGAAATGGTGAAAGTTCTTGAAGCAGACAAAAATATAACTTCAAAACTTACAGATATTTCTAAAGGTAAGTTTATAATACAATATTATGTCAAAACTGGCGTACTGTCAATATTTGACGGAGAGAAGTCAGTTCAAGAACAACTTACTGACCTGCTGCCAAAATCTGCTCGATGGAAGCTGTCGTTATACCAATCTGAGGAGCCCCAGCAGGTTTCATCGAACGAATCTTCAAAAGAGCATCTTCCGTGAAAAGTGCTATTGGTTTTGTAAACTTCTTTGCTTTCAATTCATCTGGACCGTCTCTGTCACCAGTATATTGTATTTGTACAGTACCAACAGTTGAAATACCACCCATAAAGTCTTCTGAGTCAGCAAATGGAATGCCAAGCCAAAAGTTTGAACGGTCTCCATTTGTATATTGAGTTTTTTGACCTCCTGTATGAGTCCATACTTTCACATATGGCATAATAGAACTTTGCATTTCAGGGTTAATGGTTGTTGTGAAGTTGTTGTTAAAGTTCATAGCATCTAATGTCAAGTTGTATGACCTCATATCCTCAACTGTAGAATATTCTTCTCTTGGATAATATTTGCCATCTATGTTTATATGATATTTAATACCAGGGTTGTAGAAACAAGAATAGTCATTTATAGTTCGTCTGAAAAGAACAAACATAGTATCTGCATGTTTCATTGCAGTTGTTAAGGCAATATCTGTTCTTGCACCTGGGTCAGCACTTTGGTTTCCAACTTCACCTGCAAAGTCTTTGACAGATATTTGGTGTATAGGGAACATAAGTGGAACTGCAATATATTTGGCAGCTAAAGCATTTGAAATATCTGGGTCCAACATATAGACTGCAAGTCTGCTTTCTATTCTCTTGCATTCAAACTTTTCGCATGTGAACTTAACTGGGTCCCAAGCAGTTCCAGCAGCATTGAAATAATAGTTTACTTCAGTGTTGAGGTTTGAGAAACCAAAGTCTAAGTCAACTTTGTCTTTGCAAAAGTCACAGAACTTGGCTCCACCAGTTCCAGCTACAGTAAGAGTGAATGGGTCTTGTGTTGGTGCAATGACTAAGTTATTTTTGCTTGGAGTAAGTTCAATAGAAATTTTTCCTGCCCAGTTTGGCAAGTATCTTAAAAACCTGAAGATGAGGAAAGATGACAAAGGAACTCTAAGTTTCAGTTTTACTTTAGTGGCAGCATTTCCATCTGAACCAGAAAGGTTAACATAAACTCCTGGAACGTTAGGGTCAAGTCTTCTTATTTTCTCAATGGTTGCATACTGGTCTGTTTGTTCTCTAGCTTGTGGTTGTACTGAGTTTCTCAAAGCGAACCATTCATAGTTTGCCCATGTTACTGTTTGAACTAAGTCAGAGTTAGAATATATCTTATATCCCATGAAAACTTCTGGAGCATATTGGTATCCGACATAGAAAATTCCATTGCAACCTTTCTTGTCAGACAACTTGGCAGAAGGTTTTATTTCAATGTCTTGTTCCACGTATAAGAATGAGTTGTCAATAGAAATTATATGAAACCTGTCGCAAGCAATATCTACTGTTGTTGAAGAACCTTCTCCAAACTCACCTACATTTCCATAAGAAACAGCAGTTGTATATTCGTAAGTTCCAGGAACTATTTCTGACCTTCTAATGGCATTGTTGCATTCGTTATACCATTCGGAAACATTTCCATTCATGGCATCCAAAACTGTTGGCGTTATATTCTGAGCGGCGTACATTTCATATGGGTAAAAATATAGAATAGTTGGATTTATGTGTCATAATAGAACCCACGTGGACCAAGCTTTACTTTCTTCCTGGCTGAGTTTTTAACTCTTCTTTTTCCTTCATTGCCACTACTTTCACTAGATGAAGTTACTTCTTCACTACTTTCACTTTGTTCTACTCTTCTCTTCTTCTTTGGTGTCGCTTTTGGTAACTTGCCCTCTGCTTCAAGTTGTTGCATCTTTGCCTCATGTTCACCTAGTATGTTGTAAATTTCCCATGTCCTTTTTGCCTTTGGGCTCTGGTCGCCCATCTCAGGTAACCTATATCCTAGAAAGATTTTGTCATAGTTTGTATTTGAGTCTTCGCGTATTGTTTGCATGACTCTTTCCTGAGTTTCCGGTTCAAGCTCTTCAAACAGAGCTTGTCCATATGGAATAAGCTCGTTTCCAAATATATGTTTTTGTAGCCATTCTGGTTTTCTTTCCATGTTACCAACAATATCTTTTGTGAATGGGAAAGCTTTTACCCAACGTTTCAGGCTTGCGTCATTTATTTCTGTAATTGGTTTTATTTTGTCAAGGAACATGTTTTTCAATACTAACATTTCATTTGGTACTGTCCATTTGAGTTTACTTAAATATTCATCCTTCTCGGTTCATTGTCTGCAAAGTAAGTTTTTATGACATTTTGTAAACTTTCGTTTGCAAGGTCATGTACAATAGGTTCTCTTCCTTCTCTCTCCCTAACTTTCTTTCTAAACTCTTCACCAAATATACCATCTTTATGGTTCTGTGTAGTTCTTTGAGATAAATGTTCTAGAACGTCAGGTGTTATATTTCCATCAGCCATGTTCATTTCATACTGGTCCAAAATATCTGCATGTTTCATATCTTTCAATGGCATTAAAGCCGCGCTGAAAATACCAGCTAAATCTGGTTCACCATTCACTTCCATTGCGTCTACAACTTCTTGGAATTGTGGTTGTAAGTTTATGAACCACCTATCCGGATTTGCTTTATGACCCCATCTCATTGTAGTTCCATAGTCTGCAGAAACAAAAGTAGGTTTGTTTCCATCTTGGTTAGGTTCTGAATGAACTTTAAACAATGTTTCATTTCTATATGTTTTGTTGAAATTTAACCTTTTATTTTCACCGAGTTCAGCCAAAGATTGAACGTTATATGGTCGTAAGTAAAAAGGGTTGTTGTATTTGTGTACATTTTCTTTCAGTACTTCCATTCTATGCTGAATATTTTCATCTGGTGTTGGAGTCTTTTGTATGTCGGCAAACATTTTTCGATATTCTTCTACCATGTCAGCCGAATTTTTCTTAGACTCTTGGAAAGATTCCATATTCACCTCATACTCTTGTTGAGGGTCAAGATTTTTCGGCTGTTCCAAATCTTCATCTAGTTCTGTGAAGTTAGTTTCCAAAGGAGGGACTTGTTTGTTTCCTTCAGGCTCTTCTAGCTGTTGTTGCTGAACTATTTCTTCCATGTCTGGTTGTATCTGAACTTCTTCCTGTGGAGTTTCTTGTACCTCATCTGCTGGCATTTCATATATTCCGAGACCGTTTTTAACAAGTTCCCTATCTAAGTCATCCGGACTCATAAACCTTTCTTCTTTCGTTCCGTCTCTATTTTTTACGCGTTTCATGAAGAGAGTTGAATTGTCATTTAGCTCTGACACCAAATATCTCGGAGTAAATTCAGTCATGTCATTTGGATGATATGCTATTAAATCATATCCCTTAGCGAGCTTGTATTTTCCAGGTTTGAAATTATATCCCATTTGGTGCTGAGCCATAAAGCTAAATAGGTTCGGGTCAGTATTTCCTTCCTTGAACTTTCTAATAGCTTCTTTATATCTGTCACTAAAGTCAAGAGTAGCTGGGTAACCATAGTCTTCTTTAAGCATTTTTAAGAAATCTTGGTTTCCTTGTTCTCTACTTCTTTTATGTCCTTGCTCTGTTTGTGGTTGTTGTTGTGCAGGGTTTTGAACTGTTGGTTGCTGTGCTGGTTGTGGAGGTGGTTGTTGTGCTGGTTGTTGTTGTGGTGCTGGTTGTTGTGTTGGTTGTTGTTGTTGTGCTGGTTGTTGTTGTGTTGGTTTTGGTGCATGCCTGTGTCTGTGTCCATGTGACGATGTAAATGTTTTAGGTAGTCCTGGTGCAGGTGCTTCTCTTGGAGGGTTTGGTGGTATATAGGTTCCACTAGCTAGTATATAAGTTCCACCAGCTGGTATATAAGTTCCACCAGCTGGCACATATGTTCCATCTGCAGCATAATGTCCTACCTGACTTTTCGTTTTTAAGAAAGCATTTACTAGGTCTGTTTTGGTCTGTTGTAACTCTTTTTCTTGACTTTCCACAACAGTTGCTCTAACGGCGTCATAGGCACTTTGAACTGCCTGTCTCGTTGCTGCATCTGTTATTTTCGTCATATTTTGTGCTACTTCTTTTAACTCTTTGTCGAAACCTTCAGACTTCAGTTTCTTTCCAGATGAGAAGTCGTTCACTAGTTTCACCTTACTATGAAGAGCTTCGAAGGCGTTCTTAAAGTCAGCATTCATTAAAGCTTCATTTGAACTGTCTTCATCCGCTTGTATTTTTGTCCTTATTGACCCTATAAGTTGGGCTGCTTTGGCGTTGGCTTGGGCATCTAACCAGTCATTGTTAGCTTTTATATATTCTGCGCTTTTCATTGCCTTTTGCATGGCTGCGTCGTTATTTTTACTTTCTTGTGCTAAGTTTTCATACTGTACGGTTTGGTTTTGCAACTGTAAAAGTTTTTCTGCCTTTACATTTGCTTCAACTTCTTTTTTATACTCATCGCTATCCATATATGTCTTCAGGGCTTTTTGTTTTATCTCTTCATCTTTCAGTACTTTATATTGAGTAGTATGGTTTTTCAAATTTACAACATCTTGTTCCATTTTTGCTACTTCTGCTGCTTTTTCTGACACTTTTTTCGCATATTCCTCTGTACTTAGTTCTTTCAGTTGTTCTTCTTTCTTCTTTTTCTCTACGTTTAACTCATTGAGTTTCTTTGTGTGTCTGTCATATTCTAGTTTCTTTTCGTTTTCACTTATTTGCTTCTGTATGTCTATGTTTGACTTTTTGACATCTGATATTTGATTTTTGAGTGAACTCAAATTCATTTGACTTTGAGGGTTATAGGCTGTTCCGTCTGCAGCTCCACCATAGCCTGCCATTTTCGCTAAAAGTGCCGCTCTTAAACCTCCACTCTGTGCACCAAAAACTCGGTTTAAAAGCATAGGATTGCTTGACATTTGTTGCAACATAGTGGGGTCATTCATTATTTGTTGTTGCAACTGTTGTTGTGGTGTCAGTTTTACTATTGGATGTTTCAATGCTCTCTTCCTCTTACGTATATTCTTACGTAGCTTACGTGGTATTTTAAGTGAAGTAAAAAGCGGTTTTTGACAGATGTTTATATGACACTTTCTCCGGTTTATAGGACCTCTCTCATATTCTATCTTGTCAAAACTTCATCGTACATGTTTTGTCATGATTTCATCGTACATGTTTTTGTCATGATTTCATCGTAAATGTTTTGTCAAGACTTCTTCGTAAATGTTTTGTCAAAACTTCATCGTATATGTTTTGTCAAGACTTCTTCGTATATGTTTTGTCATGATTTCATCGTACATGTTTTTGTCATGATTTCATCGTAAATGTTTTGTCAAGACTTCTTCGTAAATGTTTTGTCAAGACTTCTTCGTATATGTTTTTGTCAAGACTTCTTCGTAAATGTTTTGTCAAGACTTCTTCGTATATGTTTTTGTCAAGACTTCTTCGTACATGTTTTGTCAAAACTTCATCGTACATGTTTTGTCAAGACTTCTTCGTATATGTTTTGTCAAGACTTCTTCGTACATGTTTTGTCAAGACTTCTTCGTACATGTTTTGTCAAGACTTCTTCGTAAATGTTTTGTCATGATTTCATCGTACATGTTTTGTCAAGACTTCTTCGTACATGTTTTGTCATGATTTCATCGTAAATGTTTTTGTCAAGACTTCATCGTAAATGTTTTTGTCAAGACTTCTTCGTACATGTTTTGTCATGATTTCATCGTATATGTTTTGTCAAGACTTCTTCGTACATGTTTTGTCAAGACTTCTTCGTAAATGTTTTTGTCATGATTTCATCGTATATGTTTTTGTCATATCTAAACTCATAGTCATGTATGTCCTCTAACCATCTCATAACGGTTTCCAAACCACTTTTATCGGATGTAAAGTAAAAGCATGGATGGTTATGTAAAACGTCTAAAGTTTCTAAAGAGTCTCTCAAAGTATACTTCCTTGGAACGCCCGTAACTTTTCCTGTAGCGACGTTAGACCCTTACTTGTCCGGACAAAGTTATACTATTTTGAGTGCTCTACAAAAAAAGTCAACAGCAACGACTTTCAAAAATTTTTATGGGCTAGAAGGGGCGCAGCCCCTGGGAAGCCCCCAATACCCAAAAAAACTTCATTTTATACTTCATTTATACTAAACATCTTCAGGGCTAGAGGGCACGAAGTGCCTGGAGGCCCCACTACCTTTTTTTTTTTTTTCATAAAGTGAGTAATTTCACTAGTTGTGAATTTCTAATGTACTAAGTGAGTACTTTATATTCAACTGTTGATCTTCTTCGCATTTTTTTTAACCACGGATTGAAATTTAAGTGTCCCCGAATGTTCCATTAGACATATATCTTGATTAAAATTGCAAAAATGGATAACAACCATATTGTTCTTTCTTCCGACCTAAAATATTAACTTTTTATATAATAAATTGCTCCATGAAATTTTGGTTGTCAGGGGAAAAAAAATTAATGAAGGTATTTAAATCAATAAATTAAGTACATAAATTGAATTTATATTGAGTCTGTTGAATGCATTAAATAGTGTATAAATCAACGTCTTCTTCTCTGATGAACGTGATGAATATACGAAATTCCTGATGTATATCTATCAAATTTAACAATAATCAAAGAATAATTTGAAGTAATACCGTATTGATCTGTTACAATAAATGTGATGTTGTATTCTCCAGCATTGATGTTATTTGGAATAGGATTGTTATATTCGATTTCTTTATATGCCACATTAATAAGACTAACATTAGCACGATTTCCGGTTGTGTTATTAAGATTGTGATAAATACTAATATTACTATTCCCATCTTTGACTGAAACATTAAGAACGAACTTGATAAATTTATCTCTGCCAAGGTTCAAGGGAAATGATGGTTTTCCGATAATATTAAGTACTGGAGCGTTGATTTTATAATAAAATGACTGATTATTGAAAACACATTTACCTTGTCAACACCTTGTGAAAGATTGTTTGGAATAGAAATATGGATGTTGAATTTATGCTTTTCTAAATCTGAAATAGGAATTGATGAAATTGATTGTGGCGTTTGGCTATTTGGATATCCCTCAATAAATCCATTGATTTTAACTTCATCATCACCATCTTGATCTGAAACATATCCTGAAACTGAAATTATAGAGTCAAGATTGCGAACAAATCGACGTGTTGTGAGTGGAGTAACTTCAAGAGCTGGATAGTTTCTATAGAATCGGAATTTTTGAGATTTTCCTACTGTACATTCTCTATTATTAGTTGTTATCCCCCAAACGGTAACCAAATATTCATTTTCTTTAGATATATAATCAGGAATCAAACAAAAACCTGAAAATGTAAATCTATGTGTTTCTGTATTTTTAATTGGATTTCCTTCGAACGTACTATTGATTTCGCCAATACGACATATAATAGAAAAACCTTCTGAATAAACACCGCTTCCACTTAATTTGATACGTTTGTCAATAGTTTTGTTGTATTCACTTTTTTCAAGATTTGATAATTCAAGAGAAAATGGATATAAATATTTAAATTCAACTGAAACTGTATTTGATCTAAATGTGTATGAATCTGAAAATTTGCAATAAATTTTGTGATTTCCTTTTGTTAACTCACTTGGGATGCTGATTGAATATTGATATATTGAGGATCCACTTTCTCGATTAAGTTTCTTTGATGAATAACTATCTATCCAAATTTCAAGTGTAAAAGATTCTTCTTTTATTCGATCAAATGAAACTGTTCCGCTGATTGTTGTATCTTCTCTTATTATGAAATTACTTTTTCCTGTTGTAATTTTTGTCAAATAATAATATGCATAATCTGCATAACAAAGTGCTGTAGATATATGTAAATTTGCAATATTAAGTGAAATTATTGTTGAAATATCAAAACTCGCACCAGTTCCTGATGAAGCGCAGAAATTAACATATTTATTCGATGAAATGAAACAAGAAGATACTGTAATTGAAGCACTATTACTTGCAAAAAATAGTGAATATCCTTTGTTGTTTGATATAATACAATTTCTAAAAAAAACTGTAGCATATAGATATGCAGAAATAACCCCATATATTGAGCATTCATTTGAAATGATGTTGCAATGATTCTCTTGAATTCCATGTTCAGAATGATGTAAACATCTCCCAAAACTAGCAGTGTTTTTAATAAATGTTGAGTATGAAACAGTTGCATTTAAATCTGAATTTCCTGAAATAAGGTAGACTGAATTTGACCATGATGCTATTGAATTAGAAATATTTACATTTCGAACAATATTTTCACGATAGAAATGATAAATTGGCCCTGTCTTTCCTCGACTTCCAGTGATAGTTGATTCAAGTAAGTAATTTTTGTATGACTTATCTTGTGTTGCTTCAAAATATGAATGCGGATATGCTTTGTCATTAAGGAACATATTGACACTGCATATTCGATATTGAACAGATTGACCTTTTTCTTGGTATATGTTACCACCATCTGAATCAGAGCCCCGATTGGAATTAAAAACACTATTTGAGATAAGAAGTCGATTGTTGTCGTTATCACTGAGTTTAATAAGTTGTGTGTTGTGATTTGTAAATAAAACATCGTGAACATGAAATTTCCTGTTTGACCAACAAGTAATGTATTTGATGTATGATCTGTTGGATTACATCCACTAAAAAACCGATTCCATAAATCATTTACAAGTAATGAATTCATTAAAAAAGAGTCAAATTATGACAATTAAAATGCAAATTGTTCTGATCTCTCAATTTTGAGAAGTTTATATATTTTAAGGGAGTCTTTATATGCAGTCACATAGCTTTGGATTTGTAAATGTTACTTTTGAGAGAAAGATGTAAAGTTTTCATACTTTATACATAGTTTACAAATATCATAAAATTAGCAGTTTTCTTGCACTTTTTGAATCTCAATTTTGAATTGTAATTCAAATGTTGTGCAAGAAAATTGCATTCACTTGCCATCAATAATTGAATTTTTCGATTTTTTTTTGCGAATTGTAAACTATTCAATAAAATCAATGAAAACTTTTTCCCCAGTATTTCGCACAACATTGAATTTAAAGTAATTTCAGATTTTTTTTTAAAAAATTGATGATTTGCTTCAATTTTTTAAAAAAATGATGGAGAGATTCAGCTGTAGTTACAAATGATAGCACTAACTCCAAATATTAATATTTATGAATATTTTGTAAATATTTTGAAGTGAATTAAAAATTTTTTCTGTGGAAGAAATGAAAATAAAAAGTAGTATATGTGGAAGGGTTGTGTGACTTTTTTTGTTACGTCTATATATAGATGAAGGTATATTTTCACATCTTCTATATATAGATGATATAAAAATTTTTTCTTACGTTTTTTAAGTCATGAATTCGTAAGAAAGCGCGACATTATTAAATAAATTAGTAATAAATATTATATACTAAACACATTTTAAAATATATTTATTTATAAATCATTAAAAAATTAACATTAATTTTAAAATAATTTATTTTTTTATCTTTTATAAAAGAAGTTATATATAGATGATGTCAGATATTCCGCGATTAATTAAACATTGTTTAAATCCTGAATGGGTTAAACTTCAATTTAAAAATGAAGATTGTGAATTATTAAATGAATATGAAAGCCAAAATAAGCTAATGAGGTATAAATATAATGATAAAGAATATTTAATTTCATGGAATCAATGGAGTCATAATCAAAGACCTCATAAACGAGAAGAAGAAATTGAAAATAATGAAATGGAAATCATTGATGACATTAACGAGGATGGAATTCCTAAATTTTGTAGAAAAACCTTTAGAACTAAGTTAGGAGCATATAAACGTAGAGTATTAAATCCTGAATATCTTAAACATCAATTTAAAAAGAAAGACTGTGAATTATTAAACGCCAATGAATATGAAAATGCTAAATCAAAACTGAGATATAAATATATTGGAAGTGATAAAAGGTGTAAAGATAAAGATAAAGTTTATTCAGTTTCATATAATAACTGGCACACGTTAGGGATAAGAAATTAGAAATAATTATTTTCATGAATGAAAGATTCACTACCATAATGAAATAAAATAATTTTTAAAAAATAAACTTTAAAAATTCATGTCTTACATTTTTGAATATTTTATTTTTTTAATTCGTAAGAAATGAGCGTCAAAACTAACAACGTTAAAAAATTAGGATTCACAAACGAGGAAATAAAGGATATATTAGAGGAGGTGGGTTATGAAGTTGATAAATATTATTTAAGAAATTGTAAAAAATTCGCGGAGTTATTAAATGATTTAGATTATGATGGAAAAATGAATAAAGATGATGTTATAAATTTCTTATATCCCACATCTGAAGAAGAAAAACCTAAAGAACCTGATGTTTTCCCTGAATATTATGAAGAACGGATTAAAGATGATGAATACAATGAAATTGAAAGACTGAAAAAAATAAGAGATGAAATAGATGAAAAAATTAAGGAATTAAGAGAAGTTGAAAAATATAATGAAAATGAAGTAGAGGGTTTAATGAATATCCCAGCTTCAGAATCAGAAGTTCAGAAATCTCATGAAGAAAGATATAAAAATTATGTCTCAGAATCAACACAAAATTTATTAGATGGTGAAATAGACGAAACACTTTCAGAAGAAGGTACTAAATTTATTCGTAAACATAAGTTACAATTTATTGATAATGAAGAATACCCCTGTATCCTACTTTCACCACCTTTAGATTCCGAAAAATTCAAAAAAGCTCTTAAAAACGTGACATATGCAACTAATACGATTAAGAAAGAAGATCATGATATTTACACAAATTATTATTTAAATAAATGCACAGGTGTTGATAAAGTTTTTGATTTATTAGATAAAATATCAAAAGAAACCATTGGAACCTATAAAATTTTGTGTGATTGTGGTTTCATTATTGAAGATACCAATAATGTTTCATATGAAAGAACAGCACCGAAGGAAGACGAAGTGGAAAGGTCTATACCATTCGTTATTAAGAATATAAAAGATATGAAAACGTATAAGCATTATATTTATTCATTTATTTCAGAAAAAATGGAAGCAACCCATAAAACATCTTCTCATCATTTTATAGCTATTCATACATTCCTTTTCAAAGTTGTGAAATTAAATAAGACAGGAATTAGATTTAATGTATCAGGGTACGCATTCTTGAGTAAATTAAAATGTATTCGTCACGTCGCAGATGATAAAAATTTATGTGTTCTTAATTCATTTTATGGGCTTTAAAAAATAAACTTTATTTTTATTTATTTTTTAATTTTTTATTCTTACATAAATGAACAAAAACGGAACAGCTAAAATGAATGATAATCAAATTAGAGCAGAAGGTAGAAGGTTATTTAAACGCTTCTATAACATTCCTGATGGTGTAATCCTAAAACTCGTAGAAGCTATTTAAATGAAGCAATAGATGCATATGAAGGGTTTGACATTTCATCAGAAAGTGAGAGATTAGCGAGAATGTTAAATGTTAATATTGATTTCTATTATTGTGATCCTCAACCAGAAGACGTGGACATAAATAAGGTAGACTTTCCATTAGTGGAATCAATAATGATAGATCCAGAATTTGAAACAGTAAATATTTTATTAACACAGAGTCCATGTGGAAAACTTCACGCTGACAGAATAACAGACGTTGAAGCACTCACCGGCTATAAAGTTTGTCCATATTGTAAAGAAGAAGTTTATTCTATCCGTGATGATCCAGAAAGGAAAAACCAAAGAAGATTTTAAAGCATTGTGAGAAATGTAAAGAAAATAATGGAAGATTAATTCAAGACGTTCAGTTGCAAAAGACACAGCAACCATATGCACCACATATTACGAAACAGAAGATATATCAGTGGTTATTAGCTCACAATTTGCAGAAATATTATAAACCGACAAGATATTATATTACTTTTGACTTTGAAACATTAGAGACTAAAGAAGAATTACAACTTTCTGAGTGTGCAACTTTGAATGCTTACTTAAAACCATTCATGGTATCATCAACGGTTAAATTAAACGATAAAACATATACGAGGAATTTTTGCTTAACTTCGAGTGATTCTTTTATTTCTGATTGGATTGAGTTTTTATTTTCAACCTGTTCATTAGTTGTTGAATCAAATATGAGTCAATACAATGAATTATTGAAGTCGCAAACGGCTGGGACTTTGTCCATACATTAAATGAAAAACAGAAGGAAGCATTTAAAGAACTTCTAGATGAGGAATTCAATAAAGTGAATATCATAGGTTTTAATTCGGGAAAGTTTGATTTAAATTTAATTCTTCGTGATTTAAACACTGCAAAATGGAAAATAAAATCAATGCTGGGTTCATCTTCACAATTTAAGCAAATCATTGTAAAGAAAACAAACGTTCCATATGAATTGAGATTTATTGACATCAGAAATTATATAGCGGGTGGGACATTAGACCAATTCACTCAAGATTTCGGAAACAATAAATCACGTGTTAAATCCTTTTCCCTTATCAATTCATCACGTGGGAAAATTACGAAGAAGAATTATATAAAGAGGAACCATTCACGAAAGATTCATTTTATTCAGCATTAACCCAAGAAACTATATCAGATAGTGATTATCAAATATATCTCAATGATGCTAAAAATTTTAAGAATAGATTAGAATATTTTATTCATTATTGCAATAAAGATGTTGAAATTATGATTGACCCAATCGATAAAATTATTGAAGAAACATTTGTTTATAAAATTGACACGCTTCATAATCTTTCTTTATCATCGAATGCTTCAATGATTCGTTACGCTTTAGCATATAAAGACTTTAATCCTAATGAAAAATATCCTGAGGAAGAGATAGAATCAAGTTTTGAATTAACGAAAAAGTATTGGAAATATAAAATTGAATCATATAAGAAACAAGATGAAAAAGCAGAAAGGGATACTAAAAATAATGTTTCAATGGATGATTTTCAATACTATCACGATTTAATCCTTTCATCTAAATGCAAAATGTGTGGTAAAGCGTTTACATATGCAAATAAACCAACATTGGATAGAATCGATAATGAAAAACCACATACCAAAGAAAATTGTCAGTTAATGTGTTGTTATTGCAATGTCGTAAAATCAAATAAAGATGAAGATGTTCAACGTTTAAGAATCAATTTAAGAAATTATGCATTAAAAATAATTTACCAATGACTTTAGATTCAGTTGAAGCTTATCACATTCTCCGTAATGGAATTACTGGTGGTTTATCAAATGTTCAACATAGAGTAAATCTTAAAGGAATCACGCACATTAATAAACTTGCATATAATCCAGAAACTAAAACTGTATCAAATGAGGACACCACCAACATTATGACTCATTTTGTTGGTGTTGATTTTAATTCATTATATCCTTCATCATTTTCATCTAATCCTCATGATTTCATTCAATATACCGACCATAAAATGTATATGCCGGGAAGATTGAATGGTGTTATCATTTGTGATACAGCAACAAAGAAAGCAAAAGCACTGGGAATAATTAAGAAGAAAAATACTTTATTTGTGGCTGAAGTAAAGGGTCACATTGATGAAAAATACATTAATGATTACATAAACTTTTTACCGATAATAAGAAACTTAGATATTATCACAGATGAAAAAACAATTGGCAGTTTTATGTATAATTACATGAAATCAAACAATCTACCGGTTGACCAGAAACAGAGGAAATTAACTCAGTTAGCATCAACATACAACCAATATCAACCATTTTCTTCTTATTATCTTTGGTATCTAATAGACAGATTTCATTTTATCATTGATGACATTCAATCAATTTTAACATTTACTAAAACACTTGTTTTAATGAATTTGCGAACAAATTTATGAACGAAAGACAAAAGGCTGAATTAGAAGGAAATAAAGGAAAAAGTTTATTTTGCAAGATTTCACTTAATGGATCATATGGTTACGATGCAATGAATACAAAATTACGCAAAGACTAAAATAATGAATACACAGAAGGCACGCGTTGCATGTATGTCAAATAGTTTAAAAACATAAGAGAAATAGGTGAAGATACATATCAAGTGATGCTTAAAGATAGATTTTATAGATGTGATACATGTTTACAAGAGGCATTCTTCACTTTAGATAATGCTAAATACTGGTATTTGGTTTTCATTTATGATTTTATGTATAAATGCATGAAATGTTAATCGTTTTCATTTCATTGAAGGTGATACTGATTCATCTTATTGGGCAATCGCTGGCGACCCAAATCTTCCTAACACTCAAGCATTTCAGCAATTGTTACCGATAAACAATTTTATGTAAAAACATTTTTCAAATTCGCACCATTTGATTTCTTCTGTTTTGATGAGAAATTTAAACCTAAATTAAAGAATAAAGCTGAGAAAAAAGCACATGAGAAGAAGTTATTGGGTTTAGCAATTGAGAAACAAGGTGATAACATGGTTGCTTTATGCCCTAAGTGTTATACATCATTCAACGGTTCAATTGATGGAAGTGATTTTAAAAAGATTGCACAAAAAATGAAAGGTGTTAGTTTACGACAAAATAAACAATTAACACCTAAAAATTATTGGATATAATAAATGATAAAGTGATATTTGATGGTCAGAATATTAATTTACAACTTAAAAACGGGTCAATGACTCGCTTAGCAATCGGTAAGACTGCATTAACAGGAGCACACACTAAGGCTGTATGTTGTGAAAATGGATGTTGTATGCCATTTATTTAATATAATTTAAAATTTTATTTTTAATAAAATGCCACAGAAGAGACAAAAGGAACCGTTAATAATGGTTTTGATACTATGATTCAAAGAGGCGGGCACCCTTAAAACACTTATTTTATTTTTATATAAATTAACAGCGCAGATTTAAAAAATTTAATTTATGATTTAGTACTTAATCAAAATTTTCTTAATTATTATGAATTAAAATCATATCTCCAAAAATATGATAACAATATAACGGGTGATGATATGGAATATTATTATCCATATTATAAAAATGAAATTTTGAAATATCATGATAGAATAATTTCTAAAATTAAAGACAAAATTAAAAATAATGAATATACAAAGGGAAAAACTAAATCACAACTTAAACAATTGAAAGATTTCAAAAATAAAGTATTAACAGAAGAAGATATTGATGAATTATATAAATTATATAATCATGAGCCGCAAAAAACAAAGGAACAAAAACAAAAGGTGCAAAACACCCAGGTCCTTCAGACCATAAATGATGCACAAGCTTTAATTTATGATTCATTAGTTAAACCATATTCAGCCCGACTTTTAAATGAAGATCAACTTTTGGAATTCATCCTTCAACATAAACTCGAAGCGGGAAAGTATATCAAACCTTTATATACAGCATATTTAAAACAAATGAATAGAATACATCCAGAATTAATGAAGGGGGGAATGAAATCCAAAATCAAAGCAGATAAAATTAAACCACTTGCAACACCAAAACCTCCAACAGTAGTACCTCCTCCTCCTTCAGTTAATCCTTCATCATTCACTTTATTATATCCATTTCAAACATTAAAGAAGCAAAAAGATTTTAAAAAGGATTTCAAGATATTAAATAAACCAATTGACCCAAAAATTCAACCATTAAAGGAAAAATTTAGTCGCCCCTCATTTGCTCCATATCCATATTCATACGAAATCGATCATCTGGAATATTCAAAAGGAAACGTTACTTATTTATTTGCCATTAACATTAACACTAGATATTTATATTGCATTCCAGTGAAAGGGAAAACAGAACAGGAAACAAGAAGAGCTATACAATACTTACTAGATCATGAAAAGAGTAGATAATATCAGGGGTGATGGTGATAAAGGATTTCAGGCAGCTATGGCTCATTATTTCCCACAAATTAATTTTTTCTTTTCATCCTCTCCATATACGTTTCATAATAAAATAGTTGATGCGGTAATGAGAACTCTTAGAGATGCGTTAGGGGTTAACGGTCAGATATACTGGGATGGAAATCATGACTCCGTCATACAACAGTTAGTATATTATTACAATAATACATGGCATAGAACTATAAACATGAAACCCGTGGAAATGAAAAATGATATTTCAAAAGAATGGGAATATATTAGAAAGCAAATGGAAAGGTTGAATGATGTTAAACGTGAACAAATTAATTCGGGGCTCATGAATTTTAAACAAGGGGATAAAGTTTTGATTCATCTCGATTATGGAAAAACTGATAAATCAATGACAAAAAGAAGACGAAGATTTGACACAATAGCTGAATTTGTTAGATATATTAACAGCAATGCATTAGTTGAAGTTGACAATAAATTAATAGAAATTCCGATTTATTTTATTACCCCATTATATTTAAATAATATTTAATTTTTTTATTTCGTAAGAAATGAGTGACAACGAAGCAGCCAAGAGTCCAGACAATGAATATAAAAAGAAACTAAACAAAATTAAATCAAAAATATGCTATTACAAAAAGAAGCCGCAATGCGGTGGGGTTGAAAACGATAAAGAGAGGAAAGAAATAATCGAAAAATTAGAAACTTACCGTTCAATCCTTAAACTGAGTGAAGCAAAAATAAAAGAATTTAATAGAATAAATAAATTGATTGGAAGAGATGAATTTAATAAAGATGAATTTTTAAACTCAATCCAAATTTAATTTTTATTCCTCTTCCCAAACCCTTCTAGGTTCTTCTTTCCATCATTACTGCATAACCGCATCTTCTCGGTTTTCGTGGTTTGTTGTTTTTAATTCGTTCTTGCATCATTTTTATCATTTCCTCCCTTGTTATGATTCGTGGTAAATTTTGAGCTTGTGGGGTATCCATTACTTCATTACCTAATTAATTACAGACATAAAATATATTTAGTTCATTCATTGAACGCGGTACCATGCGAATACAGTCACAAATGGTGGCATGTAATCTTTACCCAAGCCTGTTGGATTTGTTGTGAAAGTGTGTGAATGATTTCCTCCCGGTTCAGTTGGTCGAAAAATCTTTTTTGCTGCATTGTTATAAGATGGAGATAAAACATCATTGCCAGCTTTATATTCTGAGTTGTATAATGGGTGGTCTCTTAATGAGTGGCTATGGTCGCCAGAAAAGTTTGTAGTTCCTGTATGAGTGTGCGGTGGAAGGTTTGCTTCTTTAATTTTCTTCGAACCTCCTGTTTGCTTTGAATATCTAGCACAGTATAAGAATTTATCTACAATCTGCTTCCACGTACCAAAACCTAAAACTGTTTCTGGATTTGTTGAATTCATTGACGTATAAATAGAACCAACAGGATATAATGTTTGAAGTATTTCATTTTTCATGCTTGTAATCACATCATTTACTTCCGACTTCTTTGCATAATTTTCATCAACATAAGTTTTATCTGCTTTAAGGTCTAAACATTCTGAAACCCATCCTGTATCAGCTTTAACTTTAAAAGTCTCCGATGTCCATTTATGATACCATTCAACCTTTTCTTTAATTTCATTATCTTTTTCATCAACATAAACCAAATTTGCCTTCTTATTTAATTCACTATCCACATATTCCTTATCCGCCTTCTTCATTATGTCGTTTAGGAAACCTTCTATGAATTCCTCATTTAAATTAAATCTTCCAATCTTCAAAACTTTAGGAAATGCATTTAATGCGTAATATCTCTGTTCTTCTGGTGGAATTGATGTTATATCATCCGTTATACCTTTAATTTTAGAATTCATAAATAAAATTTCTTTTATATTTGATATCACTGCACCACCATTGCAAACGAATTCGAAATGGTCATTTTTCAATACTATCTCCAAATCTCCATATTTCAACCTTTGCGTTTGTTCTGCCGTCTTTGAATTATATGCATATATGGCGTATGTAATGGTCTGAAGGACCTGGGCGCTTTGCCCTTAAGTTGCTGTTGTTTAATCATTTATTACGATTTAAAAATAAATATTTAATCCGTTATCTCATCAGCTATTTTCTCTATTTGAAATTGCCATAATATTTCATCATAAATTCTAAATCACAATCAAATAGGTCAGTTATTCTAAATTTAATATTTGATAAATCTTTTGAATGAAGAATAAATGAATTCCCGGATAATTGAAACGGATATGATAAAGAAAATGTGTTTAAGTTGATGGATAAAATGTTTTGTATTGATGGGTAAGAGTTAGGGTCTAATGTTTGATGTGAAAATCTCATTGGGGTATTAACTTTATCACATTTGATTAAAATGAAATTGGAACCAGTGTCAGAATACAAAACATCCCCAACATCTTTTTCAAAATTTAATATCCCCAACAATGAACGAAGATGAGGAGTACAAAATTTAATTTTCAGCGGGAATTTAATAAGGTTATTTATTTCATCAAGTTCAAAAAGTTTATCGGGTTTTGATTTAAAATTTTTTTCATACCATACGATAAATGATTCATTTAAATAACTTAAAATCATGTTAATATCCCATTTCGCTATCACATTATTTATATACATATCATACGTTTTTTCAAGGTCATCTTTAATAAATGATATATAATATGAAGTATAGATCCAAGGTGATGTGATTTTTGCATCCCTGGGATGGACGATACACCCAAAGTGTCACCTTTTTTGGGATAACATGAATTTTAAATATCATGAGAGTTCTGCAAACCATATGCACAATATCTATTCAGCCTGACTTCTTGTATATATGAGTTAGACTTCTTAAATATTGTGCTTGGGGCGATATAAGTATTTCCGAGATTACCATCGTGCTCTATAGTATGCTACTTCTCCCTGGTTCTAGCTCAGTTCCAAGGATATTGGCGTTCAAGGATTTGGCAAGGTCCTTCCGAAGTCTCTCATTCGATGAGAGATTTCGGAAGAATCTTGCCTTAAAGTACTCCAACTCTTGTTCTTTTGTTCCTAAATAGTGAGAAAAGTTATTTGACTACTTAAGGTAGAGATTATCCGAGGTCCCTCATTTGATGAGAGGCCTCGGATAATCTCTGCTTTAAAATTGTACACTTGTAGTCCATGAGAGTGTAAGTATACATTGATAGGACAGCTTTCTTCTGAAGTCTTAGATTTGATGAGAACCTCAGAAGAAAACTGTCATATTTTATAGTAAAAGGAGTTTCAGGAGCTCCAAAGCTCCCTTTCGTAAGGATTAGGAGCTTTGGAGCTCCTGGTTCGTAGATGTGTTTCGCATCTTTCATCAGCAAAGGACATTTACCATCTGGGACTCTGTTGATGGAGACTCAGGAGCTCCAAAGCTCCCTTTAGTAAGGATTAGAAGCTTTGAAGCTCCTGGTTCGTAGACGTGTTTCGCATCTTTCATCAGAAGAGGCCCAAATGGTAAATAGCCTCTGCTGATGAGCTTCAGGAGCTCCAAGACTCCCTCTCGTAACGATTAGGAGCTTTGTAGCTCCTGAAGGTAAGGTAGGATTGCTCTGATCTCTAATCAGTAGATGCCATGCCTCATTATGAACTCTACTGACAAGAGATCAAGAGCTCCAAGGACTCCTTTTTAGTTAGTGGCGTTCTCACCATTTAGTAGGATTGCTGATCCTACTAATGAAGTGATCACTTAGTATACGTTTTGAATAAATTGAATTTTTTTTAGAATTTAGTATTTTTTATAGACATCACATGTATATTATAAATACATAAATATATTCTTTAATTCAAAAAATTCAATTCGGTTTTGGGATGGGCATCCCAGCCCCAAGTATTCAATTTTATTCAATTTTTAAAGAATTTTGGGTTGGGATGCCCAGACCAAAACAAGCTTTATATTTTGATGTGTAGATACGTATGTGTGCATCATTGTTGTGTTATATATTATGTTTTTAATGAAAAAAAATCTGATTCAAAAAAAATTATCACTAATTAGTTGATAATATAAAGAAAAAATAGATAAATTGTATGTTTTGAGAGTATTTATCCACATTCACTCATATGAATTTCATTAAATAGTGTCTTTTTACTCCCAAATTTATTTTGAATTATTGAAATCAAAGAAAAAAAATCAGAAAAATTTCTCGAAATTTTTATTTTCAAAAGAAATTTGGATTTTATATTGAAAACTGACACTGGGAGGACGATAGGGCTGGGATTGGAGATACCCCGCTCACTTGGGAAAAATACGGATCTATAATATGAAGGGTCTAAAAGAATGGGATTAAATTTACCACTCACAGAAACGAGAGTAACATTATAAATTCCGCTAACTGTTAAATTTAATTCACAGTTATTATTCGAAATAATATTGATAATTGACATTTTTATTACGATTAAAAATATGGTAAAGCGTTATTTTCCAATGATAAATAAAACTAGAATAAGATTACCTCAAGAATTCATAAATTCAACGAATAAGAAATTCATTCATGTTATAAATTTTAGTGTTTTCAGAAAATATGAGTCAGTGTCATATTCATCAACAGGTTATATTTCACTTCATTCAAATTTAGTTCAATCAAACCCATATAATGACCATTTCATAAGATTTTCAGATGGTATTAAAAATGTAATTGATAGATTAAAATATGAACAGATTGACAATATCGAATTTTTGGAATTTTGGTTTAAATATCCCGATGGAAAAAAGATTGAAGTTAAAGATAAAGCTGATACTATAACAAAAACAATTACAATGACCGATCCGGATAGTGGGGAACAAAAAGAAATAAAACAAACGATAGAAACTGGTGAAAGGTCAATTATTATTGATTATGATTCAAAGGATTATTATTCGATAATGTTAATGCTTGAATATTAAATAGCCTTAACAAAGAATTTTTCAAGTGATATTTTATATTCATCAACTATTTTATTATAAATATCATTATATGTTAAATGAAGTTCAGTTGTTGTTCCGTTCTTTGATATCTTAATTGTGCTAATATCCTTTATAGGATTTATTTTTGCAACTGTTCCGCAGCATGAAACCTCATCATCTATGAAAAATTGAATCTTAACGTCTGAATCTTGAACATCACAAAGAATGGCGATAATGTGAATTAATGATTCATAAGGTAAAATAATTAAACCAGATTGGTCAATTAAATTTATTATTGAATCATAATTATTAATTATTATATCACGGTAAATTTTCATTAATTCAGAATTAATGTCTATTTTATATGGGTTCTCGATGTTTGATGAAAGAGGTGGGGGGTATGTTGGATAAGTGGGAATTTCAACAGGTTCTTTACCGGGTTCAGATAAAATGATTGGGTCTCCATCTTCTTTATTTTGCTCCTCCCCTTTTTCGGTAAGTCACGAGTTAATAAATTTGGTTGAGTTGCTGACCTTGTTAATTCAGGGCTAACATTAACTTTAACATTTTGAATAATTCGTGATTTATCATCATTTACGTTATAACCAACCGTAATCTCTGCTTTTGCGTTAGTGTTCTTTTGACTAGTGAAACGTCTTCTCATTTATATTCGAATAAAAAAAATATTTTAAACTTTTATTTTGCTGGAAGTTTTGAATCTATTATTCCCTGTATTTGTTCTTGAAGTTGATTTTTAGCTGGTTCATTGTAATTAATAGACCTAATATATTCATTAATTGCATTCTTATAATCATCTGATTTCTCAAATTTTCTTTTATCTAATTCCTTAACTAAATCATAAGTTAAACCTCGTTGCTGATATAATGGTTTCTTAATTAAATCTTTGAATGCTTGAGATAAAGCACCTGATGCAATTCTTGCTACTATAATTGGTTGGAATTGATGTTTAAGTTCATCTTTAACATTTGCGAAAACTGGATCGAATAAAGCAACTTTAAAGAATTTCTTAGCTGAAATTTCAGGTCTAATATTTGCATATTGACCATCAAACTGGTTAGAATATCGTGGTAATCCATCCGGTCCCTCTTCAATAGCATTTAATTCTTCATTGAAATAAGAATATGGATTATAACGGTATGAATTAATTGGACCATTTTCACCTTCTCCAATGTATTGTTTAACAGCTTTTCCATTTTCATCAAATTGCATAGGATAACGTTCATTATATGCTTTACGTTTAGGATAATCAGTTATAGTTAATTTGTAACCATTTATGACTTTAATATTACCTTGACCATCAGTAACGAAAACTTCATTTATACCATCAGGTTTTCCATTTGGACCCGTAATGTCTGCTTCGTGTGCTTCCCAATTTGGACCTTGACGTTTGGCATATGCTTGAGCTTCTGGTAATGTTAAAACGTTTCTCATTTGTTTAACATCTTTTTGAAGACCAGCAACAATATGAACTAATTCTTTCATTCCATCAGGAACTTTCATAGTTCTATTATATGCACCCTTTTTGTTTGTTCCTTGTTTTAATGGAACCTGTAGAAGATTTGCTATTTCTGTCATGTTTAATTATAAAAAAAAATAAAAATTAATTATAAAAAGTTAATCAAATTTAACACTTCCTTTATTTAAATCAACTATTATTTTTCCATGTTCACTAATTGCTGATATTGTGTGTAAAGTTCATTAATGCTCATTGGTAAATTCACTTGATAAAGCATAACGTTCAACTGTTGACGACTAAACCCACTGAAAATGAAAAGTGTTGATAGA